TGTTTGAGTGCCTATTTTCACTTCTTTTGGGTATATACCCAGGAGTATGTACCCGGAATTGCTGGGTCATGTGGTAATTCTAACACTTTGAAGAACCTCCACACTGCTTTCCACAGCAGCCACACCACTTTACGTTTCTACCAGCAATGTATGAGGGTTCCAGTTCCTTCACATCCTCACCAGCACTTGTTATTTTCCTTTTTTTTTTTTTTTTAATTATAGCCATCCTAATGGGTGTGAAGTGGTATCTCACAGTGGTTTTTGTTTGTTTGTTTGTTTTTTGCATTACACGGGCCTCTCACTGTTGTGGCCTCTCCCGTTGCGGAGCACAGGCTCTGGACGTGCAGGCTCAGCGGCCATGGCTCACCAGACCGGGGCATGAACCCGTGTCCCCTGCATCGGCAGGCAGACTCTCAACCACTGCGCCACCAGGGAAGCCCTCACAGTGGTTTTGATTTGCATTTCCCTCATGGCTAATGATGTGGAGCCTTTTTCATATGCTTACAGACCATTTGTGGAGCTTTTTTTAAACGTAAAATCATCCTTGTAAGCCTGGGAAACTTGGTCATGAGGTGTATTCAAAAGAATTTTAGGGTTCAATTTCCTAATAATTTTATTAGGATTTTTTCATTTATATTTATAAATGATATTGGTCTGTAATTGTCCTTTCTCAAACTATTCCTATCTTATTTTGGTATAAAGATTATACTAGCCAATCTCACTTATGGTTGAGGAATGTTCCTTTCATTTGTCTCCTCATTGGAATAGTTTTTCTTAGCTTTGGGCTTATCTAGTCTTTGAAAGAACCTATCTTTAAACCTTCTAGGCCTGGTGTTTCTAGATGAGTATATTTTAACTATTGAAATTTCTATCTGTAGTGAACTTTTTCTATTCTTATGTTTATTTATGCCTTCTCTCAGTCTTATAAAAATTTGGTCCATTTTGTCTTTTTAAATAACCAGCTTTTAAGAAAAAATGATAACAAATAAAATGATAAAGAAGACTAAAAGAAAAAAGTCAGCTTTTGACTTTGTTTTGTTCAGGAACTTTTATTCATTTCTGCTCTTTTTTTAAAATTTTTTAAGTCTTTTTATTGAATTTGTTACAATATTGCTTCTGTTTTATGTTTTTTGGGTTTTTGGCCCAAGGCATGTGGGATCTTAGCTCCCCAACCAGGGATCAAATCTGCACCCCCTGCATTGGAAGGTGGAGTCTTAACCACTGGACCACCAGGGAAGTCCCAATTTCTGCTCTTTGTTGTTTTCTACCTCCTGTTATCTTTTTTTAACTTCTTGAACACTTGACACATTAATTTTTTACTCTTTTCTATTTGCATCTAAGTCTATAAATTTCCCTTTAAATACCACTTTAACTGCATCCTACAAAGTTTGATCTCTAGCATTTTCTTTATCATTCCATTCTAAATATTTTAAGATATTTCAGGGAATTCCCTGGCAGTCCAGTGATTAGGACTGTGTGCTCTCACTGCCGAGGGCCTGGGTTTGATCCCTGGCCGGGGAATTAAGATCCCGCAAGCCACGTGGCATGGCCACAGGAAAAAAAAAAGAGAGAGAGATTTTCATTATGACTTCTTCTTTGTGCTGTGACTTACTTAGAGCTATTTTAGAATTTCCAAATATGTTAAGTTGTATTTTTGATATGGATTTCTAACTTAATTGCATGATAGAGAAGATTTTATGGTACCAATTCTATACTGAGACTTGCTTTGTGACCTATTTTGTGGTCAGTTTTTTTAAAAGAACTCTTGAAGAGAGAACTATTGGATGCAGTGTTAGAAAATGTGTGTGTGTGTTAGATTAAGCTGATTACGTTGTTCAAATTTTCTCTGTCCTTTTATAATATTTGGTGGACTTGGTGTATCAATAGTTTTAAAATTATATTAAAATTTCTCACTACGTAGACAGATTTGTCAGTTTTTTCTTGTAGTTCTGTTAATGTTTGTTTGAAATATTTTGAGAATGCCTTGCCCACATATTTCAGGACTTCTTACCCAAAGCAGGCCATGGTGTGGCTACAGTTGAACCTTGACTCTTGATTATGAAACCAGTAAAGTTACCATGAGTCTTGTGGCTACTTTCACTTCAGAATGTCTTGTTTATTGAAGTGGAAATTTCTGAATGAGAGGCTGAGTAGTGCCTGCTCAGTGAAAAAAACCAAAGCAAAACAAAAACAAATAGGCACTTTATTAGGGACACACAAGTTTGGAATTGTTTCCTTTTCCTGGGAATTGTTCTTATTATCATTATGTAGTGATTCTCTTAATCTCTAATAATGGTTTTTACCGTAGATTCCATCTGTCTAATATTAATGTAATACATAATACCAATAATTTCCTTGCTAGGTTCTCTGTTACCAGTCTCTCTCTCTTACAGTTCATTCTTTTTTAAAACATTCATTTATTTATTTATTTATTTATGGCTGCATTGTGTCTTTTTTTTGAATTTTATTTTATTTATTTTTTATAAATTTATTTATTTTTGGCTGTGTTGGGTCCTCGTTGCTGCGCGTGGGCTCTCCCCAGCTGCAGCGAGCAAGGGCCACTCCTCGCCGTGGTGCGCGGGCCTCCCACTGCGGTGGCCTCTCCTGTTGTGGAGCATGGGCTCTAGGCTTGTGGGCTCAGTAGTTGTAGCACATGGGCTCAGCAGTTGTGGCTCACGGGCTCTAGAGCGCAGGCTCAGTAGTTGTGGAGCATGGGCTCATCCGCTCCGCGGCACATGGGATCCTCCTGGACCAGGGCTTGAACCCGTGTCCCCTGCATTGGCAGGTGGACTCTCCACCACTGCACCACCAGGGAAGCCCTATTTATTTTTTTATACAGTAGGTTCTTATTAGTCATCCATTTTATACACATCAGTGTATACATGTCAATCCCAATCTCCCAATTCATACCACCACCACCACCACCACCCGCCGCTGCTTTTCCCCCTTGGTGTCCATACGTTTGTTCTCTACTTCTGTGTCTCAATTTCTGCCCTGCAAACCGGTTCATCTGTATCATTTTTCTAGGTTCCACATATATGCGTTAATATGTGATATTTGTTTTTCTTTTTCTGACTTACTTCACTCTGTATGACAGTCTCTAGATTCATCCACGTCTCTACAAATGACCCAATTTCGTTCCTTTTTATGGCTGGGTAATATTCCATTGTATACATGTACCACATCTTCTTTATCCGTTTGTCTGTCGATGGGCATTTAGTTTGTTCCATGACCTGGCTATTGTAAATAGTGCTGCAATGAACATTGGGGTGCATGTGTCTTTTTGAATTATGGTTTTCTCTGGGTTTATGCCCAGTAGTGGGATTGCTGAGTCATATGGTAACTCTAATTCTTCGTTGCTGCGCTCGGCTTTCTCTAGTTGCGGTGAGTGGGGGCTACTCTTCGTTGCTGTGCGTGGGCTTCTCATTGTGGTGGCTTCTCTTGCTGCAGAGCACAGGCTCAAGAGCGCAGGCTCAGTAGTTGTGGCTCATGGGCTTAGTTGCTCCACGGCATGTGGTATCTTCCCGGACCAGGGCTCAAACCCACGTCTCCTGCATTGGCAGGCAGGTTTTTAACCACTGCGCCACCAGGGAAGCCCCCCTCTTCTTTTTTTTTTTTTTTTTTCCCCTCTTCTTTTTTATGGAGGTAAACTTTATATTCAGTGAAATGCATAGATCTTAGGAGTACAGGTTGATGATTTTGGTAAATTTATATACCCTTATAACCACCACCCGACTCAAGGTATAGAATATTTCCAGCAGCCCAGAAAGCTATCTTGTACACACTTCTGGTCAGCCCCAACCCATCATAGGTAACAACTGTTTTGATTTCTACCATCATAGATTAGTTTTGCCTGTTCTTGAACTTCATGTAAATGAATGATACATTACAGACTCTTATGTCTGACTTCTTTCACTCAACCTCGTATTTTTGAGATTTAATCTTATTTATATATATATATATATCTGTAGTTGATTCTTTTTTATTACTGGATAGCATTCTATGGTACGAACATATCACAGTGTCTTTATCCAGTCTCCTGTTGATGGCATTTGGATCATTGCCAGTTTGGGTCGATTATGAATAAAGCTGCTGTAAACATTGTTTTACAAATTTCTGTGGACATGTTTTCATTCCCGTTAAGCGGGTGCCTAGCAGTACAATGCTCAGTCATGAGGTAGGTGGATATATGTTTAACTGTATAGGAAACTGCCAGCAATATTTTGCTTACTCTTTAATAACGTTTATCACAAAAGTTGTATTGATTGGTTTGTGTCTCTCTTCTGTGGGGCTGATAGCTCTTCAAAGCTAGGATATCTCTTATTCTTTATATTTATGCCAGTGCCTAATACAGTGTCTGGGACATATTTGGTACTCCAAAAATGTTGAGTAACTAATTCTTTCTTTGTATTGCTTTTATGGAATTTATCACATGCTCTCTTATTGGTTGTATTCATCTTCTCTATTAGTTTGCAAGCTTCTTAATGAGTAGGAACTTGTTTTATTCTTATTTGCATTTCCCAGAATATCTGCCACATTGCTTTGAAAATTACTTGTGATGTATGATTGAATAAACCAGCCTATCACCTAGAAGGTGAAGACCCTTGGTCAAAAGAACAAGAGAAGTTTGCCTTCTGTCTCTTCTGATTGGGAAGAAGGAGAGAAGGAAAACCAGGCAGAGCTTCTATTATATCCATTGCCCAAATGTGGGAGGTGGTTGTGCTCACTGAGACTTTTGGCCCGGGAAGAACATTTTGTGCCACAGTGCTTTGTCTAATCTGCCTCCATTCCAGGAATATGTTGCAGCAGTGAGGGAGGGGATTTTACTTTTCATTGGTGAGACTGGTCCCAAAGCAGGTTGTGTGGATCAGTAGAAAGTTTTAATTAGTGTCGCATCATACACTGACACTAAATTAGGTTTTCACTTTGCAGGATGTGTTGCTTATGAAAGAGAGGAAATGTAACATTTGAATATTTGGTATTCTGTTCTTATTTTGCAGTTAAATCCAGATGTGAACGTTTTCCAGCGGAAATTTGTGAATGAAGTTAGAAGATGTGAAGAAATGGATCGAAAGCTTCGTATGTGCATTTTGGCCTTGTCTGATGTTCCTCTAGTGAGCCAAATGTCTTAAATTAGAGTCCTCTTAATAAAGGAAGAAAATACGACAGGAGGAAAAGAAAAGAGGATGTAAAGATGAATTTCTTGTGCACGAGTAGACGTGTGGTGTTTGGGCTAGGTGGTGCTTAATAGAAACTTTGTTTGAGATGACAAGGCTGCAAGCTGAAACTGGTTTTTTTTTATGGGAAGGGTTTTATGGCAGTATTACACTGTAGAATTCTGAGAGGTAGAACCCAGAACACCATCAATTTTAGATGTCAGCAGAGCCGCCTTTTAAATTTTTGATTTGATTTTATTTATTTTTCCGGTACACGGGCCTCTCACTGTCACGGCCCCTGCTGCTGCGGAGCACAGGATCCGGATGCGCAGGCCCAGCGGCCATGGCCCACGGGCCCAGCCGCTCCACAGCACGTGGGATCCTCCCGGACCGGGGCACGAACCCGTGTCCCCTGCATCGGCAGGCGGACTCCCAACCACTGCACCACCAGGGAAGCCCCAGAGCTGCCTTTTAATTTGAGCTATTTATGAGGGAAGAATCTAACACTTATTAAGGTCCTGTTGAGAGTTAGGGTGTTCATATACTTTTATTTTGTTCATTCCCCACAGCATTCCTTCAGGATGGGTGATTTAGTACCCATATTTAGTAAATGAAGAAACCAAAGATTAGAGAGGTTAAGTGACTTGCCCAAGAACGTAAGCTGTCATGATGGGATCGGTGTTTGAATCCAGGTTGTCTGTCTTCAAAATCCAAGATCTTGCTACTATACTATGCCAGCTTTCAGTTAGCTGTTAGGTGAATTTAGTCCCTGTGCTAAAAACTAAGTCAGTAGTTATCACCCGACACACTTTTGTCTTCTGGTGTTTTGGGGCCTTATTCTGTGCTTTGTTTTTTTGTATTTTTTAAGTCAAAACTGACCTGTTTTCAAATTTAATGAAACCCATGTAGGCTGGAGTTGTCTCACTAGGGTGCTAAGTTTCAGCTATTCTACTGAATCGCACTCTTGGTAGCTCCTCTCTGCCACCAGTATCTGTGACCAGAACCGTCATACAGTAGAAGTCACAAAGGGTAGAGAGCTGACACAGATGAGGACCAGTTTTAATATCAGAAGAGGGAAAGAAGACAGTAGTGGGATGATAAACCTGTTTGGGGTAGCTATGCTTTAGAGACAGTAGGGTAGGAGGAAGAGGAATGTGGAGAAAAAAGGATTTATACGATCTGCCTTTTTTATGTAAAAGTGTCTTTCTTAGAACGAAGCTCTTTTTAGCCAGGTTTGGGGTCTTATTATTTTTTTCCTCAAGTATTGGCAATTCCAGACATGTGCAGCTAGACATGAATGTTTCGATTCTGTCTTTCTAGGATTTGTTGAGAAAGAGATAAGGAAAGCCAATATCCCAATTATGGACACTGGCGAAAACCCGGAGGTGCCCTTCCCCCGGGACATGATTGACTTAGAGGTAAACAATTCTTCTGAGGAAGCCAGATAAGTTTCTTTCTATTTAAATGCAGAAAGTAATTTCCTGAGTAGTTGGAGAGTAGAATAATTCTTGCTGTCCTTGTCTGTTGATTGCAACAGCATTGTCTATTGATTGCAAGTTTCTTGTGGATGGGACTTAAATGAATTTGCTTTTTTATGGTATAAAAAACACTGTGGTATCTCAAATACTATCACATGCGACTAAATAAATGTTTATTGGCTTATTGAAACTTTATTGGATCAATGTTAATTTATCCAGTAATTTATTAATCTCATAGACTAAATGAATAGCCTTTCATTAACTTTTCAATAATTATTTTATCTATCCCAAGTCCCCTGAGGAATTTAACCAAGTGTACAACAGAATCTATAGACAAAGAAAGACGATTTTAAGCCAAAAAGTTTTCATGAAGAAAATTGCCCTGGTAAAAACACAATACAGTTGTCCTTCAGTATCTGAGGGGGATTGGTTCCAGGCCGTCCCTCGGATACCAAAATCTGCTGATGCTCAAGTCCCTTATATAAAATAGCTGTAGTATTTGCATTAAACCTATGTACATCCTCCCGTATACTTTAAATCATCTCTGGATTACTTATAATACCTAATACAATGTAAATGCTATGTAAGTAGTTGTAAATACAATGTAGATGGTAGGTAAATAGTTGCTTGTGGGCAGCAGATTCAAGTTTTGCTCTTTGGAACTTTCTGGAAAATGTTTTTCCCCAAATATTTTCGAACCATGGTTAGTTGAATCTGCAGGTATGGAACCCAAGGGTATGGAGGGTTGACTGTACTTGCTGTGTTGTTCAAAGATACTTTTGAACCATCTGGGTGGCGAGTGTTCTGTGGGATGGATGAATTCATCTGTCTTTCAGAGCAAGCATTTTGAGCTTCCTTTGAGTAAATTGGTTTTGTTATTGTTGTTGTTGTCTCTGTAGGCCAATTTTGAGAAGATTGAAAATGAACTGAAGGAAATCAACACAAACCAGGAAGCTCTGAAGAGAAATTTCTTGGAACTGACTGAATTAAAATTTATACTTCGCAAAACTCAGCAGTTTTTCGATGAGGTCAGACTATTGTTTCTTTTAATATTTGAGCAGCTGATATTACACCAGCAAAGTGGGCCATATTTTTATTCCAATAATTATTTTAATTTGCTAGTTTGAAAGCAGTACCATTTCTGCACCCTGTTTTATTTGAAGAAATGTCAGATTATGTTCCATTTTTCATGCAGTACACAGCCAGCCATGGTTTTGTATAATTTTGCATTTTCAGCAATTTTTCATCTCAAGATGGGGAAAGGAACCCTAAAATAGTTGTATAAACATAGTTAGATGAAATTTTTACATTTTAAGGTAAGTATATGCTTAAAGTTGAAGCAACAGGAAACAGTTAGTTATACATGAAATTATAACAAAGGTTTAATCTCCAAACCTTTTGTCGTTAAATTTAAATTTTTATCCTCTATGTTTGCTTGTCAACCTTTGAGCACATTTTTAAGTACTCCAGATTGCACATCACACTTAATTTTTCAAGAGCTTTTCTTTATGTTGTTTGGAAAATTGGTAGGATGCCTTTTTGAAATTCCTGGATTTTCATATAAACTCAACTTTATTACCTTGTAGGGAAAAAATGTTAATAAATTCCTGGGTTAAAAATGTAGGTGACTAAGTTGCCAGGTGACAGCTTGCTGAGGTGATCCCATGGAAAGGATTGGAATAAGGCTTTCAGAAGGCTTCCTCCTCCTAATTAAACCTGAGAAGAAGTCTTAGCTTTCAGCCTGGACGTGCTTTTTCTGATGACCTAAAATATGGGTAACTCTCTTTTCAATAGGTGTCTTTGCCACCAGATTAACAACATCAGACATTTCAGAGATTGTCCCAGTCACTCTTCAGTGTACTTTCCCATAAGTTCTTTATTTCCTTTGCTCAACAACAACAAAAATTAGCAAAGCTTTTGAAAAATAGAAGGCCCATTTTAGTTAGCATCTTATATGTCCTCAGTTTTGTAATTTCTGTCTTTTGAGGAAAGAATAAGTCTCACTAGCTCTCTAGACTGGAGCAGGGGGTTGCCAACTAGCAACATCAGCCTCACCTGAGAACTTGTCAGAATGCAAATTTTCAGTCCACACGAGACTTTTTCAATCAGAAACTCTGAGAGTGGTGCCCAGCCCAGCAATCTGTTTTCACAAGGTGATTCTGAAGCATGCTAGTGTGAGAACCACGGGGCTAGAGAAAGTCAGCTGAAGATGTGATACATTCCTTAGTAACTAAGGATGTGACTCAGAGAAGCCATGCTAATTAAAAGGATCTGTTGGAGCCAGGGAAAGGAGAAAAGCTCACAGGAATTTAATTGCCCAGTCTTCCTGAGAATCAGAATCTGGCTACATACCAGGAGAGGGTTGGTGTGAATATTCAGTTTGCTCACTGAGTTGAGAATTTTGAGACTGATGGTAACTTCTTTCACCAGTCCCTGATCTCACATTAAAGGGTGTGGGACAGTGTGATTAACTCTTTCCAGGTGTTACAGGTCTTTTGCAACAGGCACGGCCACTTACGCCCAAGGGTTTTGATAAACAAATAATCTGGAATTCCAGTGTACTCACTGTGAAAACATTATTGTGTTTATACTCATTAATTCACAGAGCATTTGAAGAGCACCTGCTGTTTGTAAAGCGTAAGATGGGTAAGACATGGTCCCTATGTTCAAGGAATATGTCACTTACTCATATCAGGAAACATCCCTGAACACAGTGCCTCCCTATGCTCACAGATGTGTGCTTTTCTATACATGTCCAAGCTGCTGCCCACAGATCCAAAGTAAATCTGGCCTGCAGGTCAAAGCTCAGTTACTTTTATCATTATTTGGGACTTAATTCTTTTACCCTCTCCCCTCTTTCTTTCCCTTTTGATATAGCCTTTAGTTTACTGCTGGGATGTTGCTGAGATGTATGAAAATGTTTTTCATAACCTCCTGAGTTTAAGGATTGGGATAGGCTTCCTAGTCTAGTTCATTTTGGTAGAAATTCTGAATAAAGACTGACAAATGGACTCCCTTAATGGAAATAATTTTTTAAACTGTTAATTTTATAGTTAAAAAATAGTAAAAACAAAATAAGAGGATATATAAAATAGATAACTAATAAGGACCTACTGTATTGCACAGGGAACTCTTCTCAGTACTCTGTAATGACCTATATGGGAAAAGAATCTTAAAAAGAGTGGATATATGTATGTGTATAACTGGTACCCTTTGCTGGTACAGCAGAAACTAACACTGGTACACTGGTACAGCAGAAACTAACACAACATTGTAAATCAACTATACTCCAATAAAAATTTTTTAAAAAATAAGAGGAACCACTTGGAAAGATGATATAAGATTTTAAAATTGTAGCTATGGGTTTAGGAATTTTCTTTGTGATTAATAGGTCTAAACATGAAATACTCATCCTGAGAAGGCAGACATGACCTTCACGCCCTATCCATTTTGCATTGTTTTCCCTCTCCTACTTGTGCAAAACGTTTGTTTTTAATCTCTGGAAGTACTTTTGAGCACGAGGCCTTGGCTGTGAGCGGTTCTTCTGTTGCTTTCGTCATCAGTCCCTGTCACTCCCCTGTGAGGAGTCTTCTGGCAAGCACCACTCCTCCTTTTCTCTACTAGGGCCCAGTCAGTGTCTTGCCCGCTCTTACCATTAGCTCTTAGTCTCAGCCAGGTCCCTTTCACTAGCCCCTGCCCTGCTGTGGCCATACAGCAGTCTCAGGCGTCACTGCCATGATAGGAGACAAGGCCTCACAGAGTTAAGCACGTCTGCACATGCGAGTGCACGCTTTACTTAATGCAAGAGATAAGGAAACTTGGGACTCTCAGATCTCAGAGATGTGGAATTTCATGAGACTTTCTTCCATGCCTGAGATTATAATGTTTGCAAGTGGCCTGAAACACTACCAATTTTAAACCCTTCTTTTTAATATAATTTGGTGAATATGATCAGTAATTTACAATAATGAGTTAGCAGAAAATGGCTAAATCAGAAGATGATTCTTTGCATCTCCAGGCATAGGGGTTATGATTGGCCAAGTGTGTAGAAAGGGAGACGTAAACATATATTGAATATTCTTATGATTTATAATGATTAAAAATTTGATTTAGCCATTTCTTATCCAGAGCATTTAAAATGACTTGTTAATGATTATCCTTTTCTCAGTCTTCTTGCTTATGAAGAACTGTAAGAGCTGGAGAGATTTCTCTGCATCTTTTACCATAAGCACCATAACATATGAGAGCGTAAAGAAGACTGGAAAAGTAATGGTTAATGGCATGCAGATCCCTGCCTTCCTTTCCTTCTGAGTTTTCCATCCATCTGCTTTCTTTACTTTTCTTTCCCATCTGCCATCTCCTTTGGGGCTTGAGTGAATACCTTAGGTGAAGAAATATAATTTCTTTCTCAATGTAGATGGAAACGGAAGTGTTTGCTCTTGGTAATGTAGCTTGAACTGGATGTGCCGCTTATACTGAAGTGCAGAAATAGAACTACTGAAATTCTGCTACTTCCTTTTTTCAAGGCATGGTTTTAGTATTCTGACTGGGGGAAGGGGTAAATCAGAGGGCATAGCAAGTAATTTAGAAGAACCTTGGCAGTACTTTTATTAGAGAACCCAGATTAGTATTTAGATACTTGATGACATGGTTTTCAATATTGCTTTAAAGGCCATCAGTTAGTGGTTGTGGACATCTAGTTTCTCATCAGGCACAGTTATTTCATTTGACAAATTTTAACTTTCCTCTCTAAGACTTAGGATTCTTAAGTATGAAATAGTGAAATTATTAATTAGAATATTATTGCAAATTTCTATTTAATTTTAATTCTGCTGGGTTTTTTTTTGTTTTTTTAATTCCCAGAGAATTCTGGATATGCTCTTTGGAGTAGTCTAGTTGCTAAACACTACTTGCTGTTCCATCAGTTTTCCCCTTTAGAGCACATATGTTTGCACCGAGTCTGATCTTTATGGTTTACGTAAACCAGGTCTTGTGAACCATGTAGGGAAGTAGACAGGAGGCTTGTGGGTAGTAATCAGTTTCACTGGTTTTTGGCAAGGGACATCCTAAGAGCAAGTTGAAAGGCAGTAGTCACCTGGATCCTCAAAACAAGTTGCCTGTGGCTTGCAGTCAGCTGATCTGATTTTAAGTAGAAACAAAAAGAGCCCCTAAGCTTCCATTTGAGGGCAAGTGGTAACCTGTGCCCCCATTATCTCATCTTAAGGTTTTCTAAATCTCATGACAGTATTTCTCTGCACTTCTGGTGTACCCAGTGCCTATCCTTCCTTTTTTTTTTTTTTTCCTTTTGGTTGTTGAGAGTAGATCCTGCTTCTAGAATTTACTTCCCAAACAATTGCTTTCACTTGTTTAGACTTTCAGACTTATCATCTGGTTTATACTCAGTTCCCCACCCACCACCCTTTGACCTTACATTTATGGTCCTATGACTTTATCAAGAGGGGCTCCCACGTGGCATTTTTCGATAGTGGGGTTGACAGAAATAGAATCAAATTGAAATTTAGAGTGAAAATGATAGAGAAAAATTCTCCTGATTTTTTGTTTAGTTTTGCTTTTGAAAAAGAAGATTATTCTGGCTTACTTCTAGTCTTTGGTCAAACACGTAGTGCATGGATATTGAAGTTGGGGAGGTCAGTCAGTGGAGAAGTCAGTTGGCCTTCATTTTTTAGGGTAGCTTCTCCTTCCTGATGAGAGGAAAGGTGGTAAGATGTATTATGAAGAGAGAGACTAGGAAATGTAGACCTACATCGGAGAAGGTCCTGCTCCTCCTTCATTTTATTGTATAAACTGTCATGGTGGAAATCATTTTAAATCTAAACAATCAAACTAGTCCACATGCTCTATATTGGCTTATTAGCTCTTACTTTTTCTTCACTTCACTTGATTTAGATTGTTGGCTTAAGCTATGTTCTCAAGAATCCTTAAACTGTAAAGCGTACGTGAACTTTTTAATATTCCTAGATTCCTGGTCAGAAACTAGGACATTCAGATATGTTTTCACTTTTCCTTCCCTTTATTGATGCAATGGAGGCTCATGCCTGCCCAGCTATTGTGCTTCTTATCCTTTTGGACAAAGAAATACTCTTTAAATCCCATGGTTTGGAGCATTTTTTACAGTGGTCATGCTGAAAGTTCTCATGTTCTGAATTTTTAAGAGCATGGAAAACTTAGAAATCTGGAGATGGCCCTTCTATCTTTCTCCTGTTCAAGACGGTGACAACGCCTTGCTTTCTTCCTTAGAAAGAGAGTCTCCATCTTTTGCATTCTTACCCAGAGAAAATTCTAGCTTGTAGCTGCCTGTAAAGTTGGTGTTGAATGTTTCTGCAGAGTTGCCTTGTTTTTGCTCAAAAGGAAGAAACACTTCAGCTTCTATCCATATGCAAAGGTATTTCTTGGTACTTTCATGGCTCATTCAGGGAAACATAAGAGAAAAAATGGTTTCCACCAAGTAACAGATTTATACAGGTGTTACCATCATTTAATGTTTTTTCCTTTATTCCTTATTTCTAAAACCATTTCCCCAGATGCTTTACTGGGGTAATTCTGCTTCCTTTACCTCTTGTTTCTTTCCTTTGTTTTCTTCCCCTGTTCTTTTTGTCTTCTTTTTGTAGGTATGTCTTCTCTTTTGGTGTTTTTTTTTTTTTTTTATCTTTATTTTCTGAACTTATCTCCTGGTTCCTCGTTCCCTGCATGCCACTAACTATTTTCATTAGATATTAATTGATTTGTGAATTCAGGCTGAATTGCATCATCAGCAGATGGCGGATCCAGACCTGTTGGAAGAATCCTCATCCCTCTTGGAGCCAAGTGAGATGGGAAGAGGCACGCCTTTAAGACTTGGGTATGTACCACTTCAGCCCTCTATACTCAGTGGGGTCATGTTCATTTTTGCTTTTCAAAAGAGCGGTGTTGCTGGGCATTCACTTGCTTCCAGGATGCCCTCTCTTCTGAGCCCATTGCGAAGTGTTGCTAAGTTGCTTTGCATTCGGTTACTGAGTTGTTCTGTCAACCCTCTGCTGAGTCCAGGAATCAGACTTTGGCAGCCCTTTTTTTTTTTTTTTTTGGCGGTACACGGGCCTCTCACTGTTGTGGCCTCTCCCGTCGCGGAGCACAGGCTCCGGACGCGCAGGCTCAGCGGCCATGGCTCACGAGCCTAGCCGCTCCGCGGCATGTGGGATCTTCCTGGACTGGGGCACGAACCCGCGTCCCCTGCATCGGCAGGCGGACTCTCAACCACTGTGCCACCAGGGAAGCCCCTGGCAGCCCTTTTGACATAACAATGCATATCCTCCTGTTTGGCGTCTTTGCCCCCTGCTCTCACTTTCCTCCCATACCGTGGCGTGGAATTGTTCCCAATCTGGCTCTTCTCCCCACAGCTTCGTGGCTGGTGTGATTAACCGGGAGCGCATCCCTACTTTTGAGCGCATGCTTTGGCGGGTGTGCCGGGGGAATGTGTTCCTGCGGCAGGCTGAAATCGAGAACCCCCTGGAGGATCCTGTGACTGTAAGACAAGGAAATTGCGTCTCATGGAGTAGGTCTTGTAAAGGGAGCTCAGAGCAGTAACTCAGCAGGTGCCACCTGAATCTGACCCTCCCATGGAGGAGCCCTTAGGTTTACTCTGCTTTGATCTATGAATTTGAAGGACTGCTCTTTTCCTCTTTACCTCCATCACATGTGTACATACAATGTATATGTGACGTATACATATATATGTTCAAGCTTTACCCGTGTAGGTATTACTTTGATTAGAAGTGTGTTTTTTCCAGTTATTTTAAACTTTAGCTTTATATGTTTTCTGTTACTTATCTGGGACCAAAAGAAAATTAACTTTCTATGAAAATTAACTTAAAGAAAGACATCTAGTTCCAAGTCTGGTAACATCCATATGTAAAAAGAGGAGAGATTTCCTAAACTGTGATCTTTATAAGCTGATGAAACTTTAATTGGTAAAGTTTTTTGTCTACTTGTTTGTTGGGAGTTTTAGGAACTTAGTTTAAAGATTTATATTGTACAAGATGGGATGATCTTCCCCACCCAATGCTTTGGAAAGTAGGAATAGCTTAGCATCTTGGCATTTGACATAATGGGACAGAGTTCTTAGCATAAACCTACATTTAGAATGGTGAGTCCTAATTTCAGGGATGACAAGCAAAGAAGATTAAATGTTCTGCAAAAAATTTATTTCATTTTGGTATTAGTATTATTTGGAAACCTGGAGTTGGTTTTTATGTTCTCAAGTGTCTTTTGGGTTTCTTAAATTAGTATTCTTTTTTCTACCTAAGAAAAGAGGTTGAATTATAAGGCTTCTCAGAGTCGGTGGGTCATACAACTAGAAATGATCCTGGTAAATGGATCTTCTCCTCGGTACCGAGTAGGAGTGTGGTGACACTTAGGTTACAGTGAGTGTCTCCTTACACTGAGGAGCAGTGTTATAGTCTTACTGAAGGCTGTCCCTGGGTTGTAGAGACATTGTAGTCAGCAATCACACCTAGTGTGGAGCTGTTCTCAGGAATATTCAGCCAAGTTCCTGGGCAACAGAAACATTATTTTATCAACAAATCGAGTAAGGGAGGGTCTGGATATCTACAGCAGAGCAGCTGCACAAAGAATGTGCTCCAGTTTATTCCTAGAGAACTTAGGAATTTCAGACTCTTGAGCCTTACTTTCTTCACTCCTTCACTCTTTTTCCCTCTTTATCCTTCTATAATTTTGTTTGTTTTCCTGTAATAAAGGCTCTATAGGAATAGGAGAAAATACAGGCAACCAGAGACCATCCTGGTTGACACCCACTATAGCTTATTTTCCTGATCTTTCCTTCTAGCCTTTGCCTCATACTTCAGGTATAAACTTGGTATTTGGAATGGATTGCCTTCCGCCCTGCCCCCTAAGGTGTAAATGGGCATGAATCATGAGATTCTGCATCAACATTCTTCCCAACTACTCAGTCCCTTGTAGTTATTCATTCCCCTTTATCTGGAGTTTCTAAGCATGGGAATAAGCAGGAATGGCTTCCTTCTCTTTCCTCTTCTCTGTACTTATGTCATTTAGGCAATATAAGATTTGTTCAGTTTAAAGTTGAATTGGTAAGTAGGGCTAAATTGTTCTAAGAAGAGAATCATCTTTGCATCCGTGTCAATCTCCTGGTTGAGTTGAAAAACAAGTACAGAAAGATTTTTGTGAATCAGAGATTACAGGGCAAATGTTCTTGTAGTGGAGCTTAAGAAATGGATTGAGGGTAATGGTTAAAACACACAGTTGCCATACCCTTAAAAGATTCCAGTTGTTTCTCTGTCACCAAGAAAGTAAGTTACTTAAGAAGTTTTCTTCTGGATTATAAGTCTGAATTCTTGGTTTTTGGTTTGGGGCCTAGGGAGACTACGTGCACAAGTCTGTGTTCATCATTTTCTTCCAAGGCGATCAGCTGAAAAACAGAGTCAAGAAAATCTGTGAAGGGTAAGAGGAAGGTGCCTCCCCCTAGGGTGCATCCAAGCCACCTAACTATTATTAAGCCTAGAGAATAGAGAGACACAAAGCCTGTTCATCCACCTTGACACGGTGAATATGTCTTTTAATAATGTTAAGGTTATTTTAAACAATGAGAAATGGCCTAAGTTTATTTTTTTAGACTGTCAAAATCACAATTTCCTTTTCTTAGAAAAAGTAGTTAGGACTCATGATTTATAAATTCTACATTGTTCTGGGACGATGGGTCTTCATACCTAGCAGTGTACCATAGGCACTGTGCCCTTAAACTCTTCTGAAATTCTGCCCATGAGATCTTTTTTCCATGCCATTTTTCTCCAGCAATTTATAATGTAATTTGTATCACCATTTCTTTTTCTTTTTTTTTTTAATCTAAAGGAATTTAATAGCTACACAGAATGTTAAAACAGTTCAAATGTTGCTGCTCTATCTGTAGGCTCCTTCTCATAAATAATTATTATTAATTAGTGCATCAGTCTGAACGAATCCTGTTTGGGTCCTTCTAGTAAGTTAACATTACTTTCTGAGATTACTTAAATTGGCTACGTTAAGGAATTTCAGTGTTTCTCAGGCTGTTTCTGCACATTCCAGGTTCCGGGCCTCAATCTATCCCTGTCCTGAGACGCCACAGGAGAGGAAGGAGATGGCTTCTGGGGTTAATACCAGGATTGACGATCTCCAAATGGTACACAGAGGCCTGGAGGGAATTTGTTTTTGTGAAATACTACAGTAGAACACCATTCTTCTTCCTTGAAACACGAACAGTTAGTTTATTAGGCACCTGCAGCAGCCCAGGATACATTTCTTTTTTTTTGCTATTTTTAATTCATTCCTTGAAACTTTTCCCCAGCTCCCATGGGGAATGACTTAAAAATGGCATGAATCATCTTCAGATGCTACACATCTGAAATCGTTGTTGCCTAGAGTATTCAGTCCCCCTCCTCATGAGTCTGAGATACTTTTATAGTGAAGTGTGCTTAGTTAGGGAAAAAAATCAAATAACATAGAAGTACACATCAAGTCAATTCTGCCTCACACGCACTGTCTCCAGAGCAGCCACTCTTAACAGCTTGGTGTGGATCCTTCTGGTCACCTTGAATCTGAACCACAGAGTCTAGCCAGTGAGTCCTGGTGTAACTCTCGTACCCAAGAAGAAACATTTCCCAAATCGCAGTGTGTGTGGTTTGCACACACCATGGTTGTCACGGGGTTCTCAGTAGGGGGTCGTGATTTATGCACACATGGAAGGAAAAGGGTGCCCCGTGGGAGCTTTGTTCCCTATTGAAAGGATGTGATGATTGCCCCCTTGAAACGTTAATAAACATACTTAATCCCAAAGGCAGTTCTTTCCAGCAGTGGCAAATTGTCAGAGATGCGTTGTAACTCCCATTTCAGCATCGTTTCTCATCTTTCCCTCCAACCCCCTCTGTACGTTACCCGCCGACTTGACCTGTTGCCAGCTCCTTTCAGATACACTTACCTGTTTAACCAAAGGAAGAGTTTTTTTAGAACTGCTGGTGGGTGATAAGCCATGCTAGTACATTCTGGGTTCTAGGACTCTTCTACCCCCTCCTTATGAGGTAGGCTTGTGGTAGATTTTGAAGAGCATGTGCAATAGTCGTTATAAATGACTAGAATCTGATTTTTAAAACACCAAACTGTGTGAAGTAAAATTTTAAAAGGGATTGAATACCAAGGGGTGAGATGTGTGGGCGTGGGCTGGTGGGGAAAGAGAAAAGCAAATAGAACATTGCTTGCAAGTTTATTTAGCATCTTTTCAGAAGTTTAAATAGTGATTGTGAAATTGTCAACAACCACGAAAGAAAGTAGCTTTGTTCCTTTATTTTCAAGTGATACAAGAGTTTCCCTAGCATGCCATGGCTTTTTTTTTTTTAAAAAAAAACACCTCTCATGGAAGTTACTTTCTACTGCCCAAGACAGTTTCTCAGGGAGCAGTGACGACTTTTTTCCCAAACTGACTTGAAAAGCTAGCTATGATGGAGACTTGAGCTAAAATGATTAATGTATAGTTTTTTCCTCTTCAAACAAATGTGATTTAAGGTAGATTCTCATGCACAAGTGTGAATGGTGGGGTGCTTGCCCAATTTTGGCTTAGCCCCTCTTCTGCTATAGAAATCTTAACTATTTGGTGATAAACAAGGTAGTAGAATGTAAAGTGTTCCTGGCCCTTCCTCCCACTCTATTCTTGGCAATGTGATTCCTCCGAGGGAACTCTGTACTGGTTTCCAAAGGATCAGCCTTCTTGGGGGGAAAGGAAGCCTGACAGAAGAATCAAGCCTTATCTGCTCCATGCTGCCCGTGGTATGTGGCGGTGTAAATCCGCTCTAAAGGCCGTGTGTCTCGTCCTCCTGGCAGGCAGCCTCTCTTGGCAGAGGCAGATGCTGGTGTTCAGCGGCACCTCTGTCTCCCGGTCCCTGAGGCTGGCTGATGTTCAGGGTGCGCTGCCGCTTGCTGTGCTTAAGTAGGGATTTGACAACTCGGTCAGCTCCTGGGCCTGTGATGCTGACTTCTTTGACTCTGAGTTACAGGCTCCACATGGAAAGTCATTGCTCTTTAGTGAGCCAGATAAAAGCCAGTGACCTACATTGTTCTGCTGTGGATTTTGTGGTCAGATTAAATTTAGAGAGAAAAGCTAAAAACCACTTTCTCAGGTTTCTCTTCAGCTTGAAACTAAATGAATATGAATGTTAGTCATTGGAACTCTAATTTCTTATAATTTGGCCCAAAAAAAAGAGAAAATTCTAGCCAGAGGAAGAAAAAGCCCAGATCCCCACCTGCCCTTCTCAGAAAACTGTGCCTCTTTGCCTTCATATCCTGAATTCTAAGACTGGTGTTAGAAGGATCCCTGTCTGCTCCTTTCTCTCCCAAAAGGTTCTGAATCAAACGGAGGATCACCGCCAGAGGGTTCTGCAGGCAGCTGCTAAGAACATCCGTGTCTGGTTCATCAAAGTGCGGAAGATGAAGGCCATTTACCACACTTTGAACCTGTGCAATATAGACGTGACCCAGAAGTGCCTGATTGCGGAGGTCTGGTGCCCTGTCACTGACCTTGACTCCATCCAGTTTGCGCTCAGAAGGGGCACGGTGAGTCCCCCACAGCTAGCAGTGCAGCCTACAGCTAGGAAGAGAGGATCCCATCCATAGTAACATGAACCAATTACATTTTTATGGCATTTTTAGTCTCAGAGTTCTTTAATATACTCATCTTGTATCCTGACAATACATTTCGTATATGCTTATTTTTCAAATGTAGAAATTGCAGTTGAAAAGAAGATTAAATGATTTGGTCATATACCCATGATCCTTCAGGGTAGCTCAAAATCAGAACATCAATTTCCTGATCCACTCTCTCTGTCCGTTAGACTAGTTCCATAATATAACCCTCGCAGTTCCATTTAGTAGTTAATTAGAGCTACTGCCCTATCCAAAGCACTGATCTAGGAGCCCGGAGGTACAGAGATGTAAAAAATAGGCCTTCAGGTATCTATGACTTACTTGAAGAGGCTGATGTGCATACAACACAGTCTGTGCTAAGAGTAGTTTATGTGTGTGGAGGGAAGGAAGGCACTAGCTTTTCCAACTAGGATGATCAGAAAAAGCTTCAAGAAGGTGGCATTTACTCAGGGCTTTGAAGAATTGGTAAGATGTTGACTGGCAACAATGAGAAGAAAACAGTATGGACAAAGGCAGGAAATACAGTGTGACCATGTGTGGTTGGGCCAGAACAGGAATGGTAATGGGTGAGCTGAAGAGCAGGAGGCAAACCTAGGTCAGGGAGACTGGAACCTAATTGTCAAGGGTTGTTTTTTTCTGTTTTGCTTTTTTAATTAATTAATTAATTTATTCATTTATTTTTTGGCTCTGTCGAGTCTTCGTTGCTGTGTGCGGGCTTTTCTCTAGTTGCGGCGAGCGGGGCTACTCTTTGTTGCAGTGCACGGGCTTCTCATTGCAGTGGCTTCTCATTGCAGAGCATGGGCTCTAGGCACGTGGGCTTCAGTACTTGTGGCACACGGGCTCAGTAGTTGTGGCTCACGGGCTCTAGAGCGCAGGCTCAGTAGTTGTGGCACACAGGCTTAGTTGCTCTGCGGCATGTGGGATCTTCCCGGACCAGGGCTCAAACCTGTGTCCTCTGCATTGGCAGGCGGATTCTTAACCACTGTGCCACCAGGGAAGTCCCATGAAGGGTTTTTAATGCCAGCTTAGTGGGTTTAAATTTTATCCCAGAGGGAGTGGAGAGACATTGGAAGTTATTTAGCAGTGAAAGGACATGATCAAAATGGTTTTAAAAGAGTAATCCAGGGACTTCCCTGGCGGTACAGTGGTTAGGACTCTGTGCTTCCACAGCAGGGGGCCCGGGTTTGCTTCCTGGTCAGGAAACTAAGATCCCATATCCCACATGCCTCGAGGCGTGGCCAAATAAATAAATAAATAGAATAAAATGAGTAATCCATTGATAGCATCTGGGTTGGATTGGGGAGTAGAGAGAGTCTACAAGTAGGGGTTCAGTTAGGAGGTAATTGTAAACACAGAGCAGTAAGTGATAATGACCCCTGCAGTTAAAAGCAAATAATGATGAATTTGTGAGACACTCTGAAGGAGGTATCAATTGGTATATTTGGTATTTTGCAATGTGCAGGAGAAGTACAAGGAGAAAAAATTAAAAATGTTTCTGAGGCATCAAAGCTGGGTGGCTGATAGAACAATAGTTTCATTGATGGAAGTAAAAGTTCAGCAAGAGAAACTTACTGATCTGAGAAAGATGATAAGTTCAGTTTCAGTCACATTGAGGGGTTGGACAGAAATCCACATGGAAGTCTCAAGCAGAAAATGGGATAGGCTCTCAAAAGAAAGGGCAACATGAAAGAGACGGGTTGCATGAGGTTGGAAGGGTGTGAGACCTCCAAGAGAGAAAATAAGGAGCTAATAGTAGAACGTTGGGGGCCCTGCAGTGTTACAGGCAGGGGAGGAAGAGCCAGCAAAGAGACAGGAAAGGCATGGTTGGTAAGCAGAAGAGGTAGCTCTCCAGCGTCAGGGGCTTGCATATAAGAGAAAAGACCTTTGGATCCGGTGATGAGCCAGCCACTTTGGCCAAGTGTGCTCTGCTAGACTACAAGGATTAGGGAGTTAAGAGTAGGTGGCGAAGGAAGAAAGTCAGAGAATAACTTTGCTTCCTCCATAAAAGGAGAAGAGAACAATGACACTTGTAGACAGGCAGATAAGGATGTCTCCAGAGTAGGTACCACATTTTCTTTGGTTACATATTTTAGAATTATTTTTTTTTCATGGTGAGGATAGTTTTCCTAAGACTTCATTTAAATCTTTCATTGTAAATTTTATAGCTAGTTCCAGTTTCCCCAAAGACCGGAAGGCTTGAGATATAATTTACATAAAAGAAAATACACATATTTTATGTGTACTGTTCGATGAGTTTTGATAAATATATATGCCTGTGTAACCACCATCACAATTAGGAGGGTGACCTGATTCTGAAATATGTGCTTTATGTTTCCCAGGAACACAGTGGCTCCACCGTGCCCTCCATCCTGAACAGGATGCAGACAAACCAGACTCCCCCAACCTATAACAAAACCAACAAGTTCACATGTGGCTTTCAGAACATAGTGGATGCTTATGGAATTGGAACTTACCGAGAGATAAATCCAGGTAAAAAAGCTTGAATCTTTTCCCTCTTAGAGGTTTTATTCTTTGTTATTTCTTTCAGTGCCTCACTCTGAATGCAATTGAACACAATTGGCTTAAAACTAAAGATGTTGTCAAGGCCTCAGCTGTTGTGTATTTCCTGTGAGGAGGTGCCTGTGTGGATGCAGGGAGTGAGGTTTATCGCTGGGTGGCACCCCTTTGGGAGGTGCTCTTATAGGAGTTTTGTAGGAATGAGCTCCATGGATTGGATTCCTCTCTGCCCTCGCGGCTGTACAGCGCCTGGCTTTCTCTTGCACACCATTTGCTGGGACTGCTTTAAGCAAAAAGTTTTCTCCAAGGTAATTGATATTTTAAAATAGCTTCCCTGTTCCAGGTTAGAGAAAATATAGCAATTGTTGACCATTTTAGGCACAAGGCAGATTTCTCCTCTGTTCAGAGAGTTAATGATTAAATCCGGAGTCTGAGAGTTCATTTTCAGTGGGAGCCTTCTGCAGGACCTGCTTTACTCCAGGTTCTGGGCTTTCTCCCACTCACCCAGTGGCTTTTTTCAGCTGGTTACTATACAAGGGAGGAAAGCTGGCCTGCCCCAGGAGCAGTGTCCCAGGGGTGAGAGAAAGGAATCAAAGAACAAATCACACTGGTGCACACTAGAGACAAAACTTTGATTTCTCGTGAGGTTCTTTGTTGAAAATGCGGGCAGTAGCTGGGATGCCACCAGAGCTGCTTTGTGAGGCTGTGCAGATCCTGCCGTGAAAGTTACCCCTGCGAGTCCCTCTGACCAACAGCTTGGGAATAAGTCACCTTATACTGATCTTAGATGATGGAGAGGGATGTGATATGCTCGGAATTGCTGCGGTTTTCTGTACTTGGTCTTTTTCCTTCTTTGGTTTCTTTATAGCTCCATATACGATCATCACTTTCCCTTTCCTATTTGCTGTGATGTTTGGGGACTTTGGCCACGGCATTTTGATGACCCTTTTTGCTGTATGGATGGTGTTAAGGGAGAGCCGGATCCTCTCCCAGAAGAATGAGAATGAGGTAATGTTTTGTTTGTTTTTGATAGAAACTCAGAAACATAAGATAATTTTATTATTTTCTTGACATATTTCTAATATTTTTCTCATATAATCTTTGGCTGCTTACAATCATTGTCTCTTCATAGGGCAACACATTTATAATTTGTACAGACAGAAGGATAATTCAGTCTTTCCTCAGTATGATTGATGGAAGTGTATTTATTATATTTTTATTTTTTTATTTATTGAGATATAGTTGATTTGCAGTATTATATTAGTTTCAGGTGTACAAATAGTGATTCAAAAACTTTATAGATTATACTCCACTTATAATTATTATAAAATATTGGCTCTATTCCCTGTGCTGTACAATATATCCTTGTAGCTTATTTATTTTATACATAATAGTTTATACCTCTTAATCCCCTACCTCTATCGTGTCCCTCCCCCGTTACCTCTCCCCACTGGTGACCACTAGTTAATTCAAGAACGAGGTAATGTTTAAATTACATCTGTGTCAGTCTGAAACTTTATAATTTCTCAAGCATTCATTATGAAAATTATCTGGAAATCTTTGATCCATGAATTTATAGAGAAGTTATAGAGACTATTTAGAGAATAGAGAAGTTATTTTCATTTTAACACTAAAGAGGTCACATGCTGTGAAAGTAAATTTCTTGTTAGCGTTGTATTTTGGTCTTTACTTCAAGCTCTCTGACTCAGAATGGGGTAAGAGTGGTGTGAGAGGAAGCGTCTAGTACATTATAAATAACACTGTCACGACATTAGCTGCATCTAATGAGTACATTTCATTGATCTCTTTCTCCTGGCTCCCAGATGTTTAGCACTGTGTTCAGCGGACGGTACATTATTCTGCTGATGGGTGTGTTCTCCATCTACACGGGCCTCATCTACAATGATTGCTTTTCCAAGTCTCTTAATATCTTCGGGTCATCCTGGAGTGTGCGGCCAATGTTTACTTTATACAATTGGACGTAAGTTGCAAAGAAGCTGAAAGTCAAAGCTTACTCCTTTCGTGTTCAGCTCTGGTTTTCCAGACAAGTGGTAAACTAACACTTCTTTAGGAAGCGGTTGACACTGTCTCTATTCCAAAAGAATGTAGTGTCTCCTCTTATTTATGCTGCAGCCTGGGAAGTGCTTTGTGATTTGTTCAGCATTGTTAAGGAACATTGATTCTTTTTGTAAGTTAAAAGCGGGTTCCCCAATTTCTCTATCTGGTCTTGTATGTGTGTTTAATTTTTCTTTTTGTTATTTCGGATCCCTTCTCACTCTCTGATGCTAATCCCTCCTCTTCTATTGAAGAGACAAAATAGCTATAGTATCAGTGGTTTCTTTGGGGATCAGTTTTTGGACCCCAGTAATTTCCCTCTCTTGAATAAAAAATAAATGCAGCTTTTCTCCTAACATGGTAGGGAAGAGACGGTTCGGGGAAACCCTGTCCTCCAGCTGAACCCAGCTGTCCATGGAGTTTTCGGTGGACCATATCCTTTTGGCATCGATCCAGTAAGAGCACTTCTTTTCTATATGTCTGACACCAAATGTTTTAACTGAAACCCACAAGTGAGAGAATGAGAATGAAGATAAATAGTTATTGGGTTTTAGTTAACATATTTTTAGAAAATTCAGTGTATCTGTCCAGAGCACTTTAAAGCTGCAAGAGATCCAGATGCCTTGGGGAGCCAAGGAATTTTTCCTGTACTCCTTATTTTAGAGGTGGCTAATAATACTGACTCTGGGAAGATTGATTTTCAAGACTCCTTCCCAGTTTATTTTTGTTTAACTTAGTTTGGTTTTTATTTTTAGCAGATGTTTTAACAAAGAAAAATAGCTCTTTTCTATGGATTTTAGATTTCCATTCTTATCTTTACATACTTAGACAAAAACTTATCCCAGACTTTTATTTTTTTTCAAATACTTAGGCAAGTAAAGTGTGATCAAGTCTTTTGTGTTATGTGCTTAAACAGGGGAGGCGGGGGCAGGGGAGTGTGTGGAATTTAAGCCTAAACGTTAGATTGTAAGGATTACAAAATTCCAGAGGAAAAGCGATCATTATGGACCAGAAAGATTAAGTTTCTTGTAAAAAATGGGAATTAATCTGGCCTTTGAAAAATATTTCAGATTGTTATAGGTGAAGAGAGGTGTGTGCAAAAGCATAGACGTAGGGAGATAACAAAGTTAATTATCTTAATTGTTATAGAAATTAATGGTACTGAAATGCTTACTATAGCTCAGAGACTGTACTGAGCCCTCAGCATGTCTGATTTATGCCCAAACAATTCTATCAGGTAGGTACTGCTATCTGTATTATACAGATAAGGAAACTAAGGCTTGGAGATATTTAATAAGATTTCATATGTGCATTTAACAGATGTTTACTGAATCCCTATTGTCTGCAAGGCATAGTGCCTGGAAACACGTTATTCTAACACACAGCTCCTGCCCTCAAGTAACTTGGAATCTAATAATAATATTATCTCACATTTAGGTAGTGTTCTGTAGTTACAACAGAGTTTTTTTTTTTCAGACATCTCATTTGGTGCTTACAGGGTAGATACTGAGTTTAAAGTGCCTGTGGGACACCCGGGTATAAAAGTCCATCAGGCAGTTGGAGTTGCAAGACTGGGGCTGCAGAGAGAACCAGCCACAAGTTGTCAGGTTAGAGGTCACCGAGGATGAGCTCTTCATGAGGAGGCCAGTTCAGAAAAAAAGATGCTGGGCTAGATGGTGGAAGATCTGGCTTATCAGGGTACAGAGTTTGCACTTTATCGTAGAGATGACAGTAGGGGTTCTGGGAGGTTTTAGCACAGGGAATGACTGCCTCGGAGTCACGATTTAGGAAACATAATCTGATGGCCAAGTGGAGGCAGAACTGTCAGGAAAATTTTACAGGCATCCAAGCCTTAGGTGACAAAGCATAAGGCAGTTAATGTTTAAAAATAGATGGAAGGACAGCACCACTGGGTTTCAGTCAGCAAAATACAGATTGTGGGAGCATCTACAAGATAAATGTCCCAATTTCTTCAACAAATCTTTTGTAATGAATAAAAAAGGAGAGCTGGAGGGAGAACCTATAGAGACTTAAAAGCTTTATCAAGCAATCATTGTTATAGACCTTGTCTGGACCCCACTTTGAATAAATGAATTATTTTAAAAAGTATGGATACAATTGGGGAAATTTGAATACTAATGATTCCAGGGTATTACAGAAACATTGTTAATGCTTTGGGGTATGATAACAGTATTGTGGTCATGTTTTAAAAATGAGTTCTTACCTTTTAGAGATCCATACTGAAATATTTACAAGTAAAATGACATAGTATCTGGACTTTGCCTCAAAATAATGTGGAGGTGGGGAGTGGGTTGGGGATATGATGAACACGATTGACAAGGAGTCAGTAAATAATCGTTGAAGCTGGGCCATAGGCACATGGGAGTTTGTTATGTTATTCTCTCTGCTTATGTATATGTTTAGCATTTTCCGTAATTAAAAAAACAACAACTATTTTTTAGAATAGGTGAATATTTGAGAACTCTTTGTAATGCCTTTTTGTTTTCTTGGGTTGTGACAGATTTGGAACATTGCTACCAATAAACTGACCTTCCTCAACTCCTTTAAGATGAAGATGTCTGTTATCCTTGGTATCATCCACATGATGTTTGGAGTCAGCCTGAGCCTTTTCAACCATACGTGAGTCACTCTGTTTCATCATAAGAATGCACTTAGTTCAGACAGTGCTTTTGCCTAAAGGAATCATAACACCTCTAAGGAGGGATTAATAACTCAGAACACTGTTCTGTGTTAAAGAAATGCTTTTATAAAAATCTCATTTGTTTGAATGAAGCTTGCTTAATATTAGTCCCTTAACAATGTACAGTCATACTCAAGATCTTTTAAAAAGCCTTGTGTAATTTTCATCAAAATGAGAGTTATGTTCTTTTCCCTTGATGTGTAACTCACATAAACTTATGAACTGTGGTCTCAGAATGTACTAGATTTTCCTATCTCTTCCTCATGAGAGATTGGTAGGGGTGGTATTGGAGCTGTTCACGGTCCAAAAGTTTGGTAGTCATAGTTAATCCTGCTTGTTTCTGTTGCCTCCAGTTCTTCTGGCTTTTGCTTCTTCAAATGATATACATAGAGTTGAGGGAGCATTAGGTAGAAAATCTAGTATACTTGGTATAGGGGTGACCCTGGGTCTGTTCACCTTTAACATTTTTTTCTCTCTTACTTTTTAGCTATTTCAAGAAGCCACTGAATATCTACTTTGGATTTATTCCGGAAATAATCTTCATGACCTCTTTGTTTGGCTACTTGGTTATCCTTATTTTTTACAAGTGGACAGCCTATGATGCTCACACATCTGAGAAAGCACCAAGTCTTCTGATCCATTTCATAAACATGTTCCTCTTTTCCTATGGGGACTCTGGTAATTCGATGCTGTATTCTGGACAGGTGCGTCAACCCAGAGGTAGACCGTCTTAGGTGGTTTTCCTAGGTCAGGAAGCCAGATGTTTCTGTGACCCTGAAAAAGCCTTAGGGACTTCCCTGGTGGTCCAGTGGTTAAGACTTTGCCTTCCAGCGCAGGGGGGTTGTGGGTTCGATGCCTGGTCGGGGAGCTAAGATCTCACATGCCTCACGGCCAAAAAACCAAAACATAAAACAGAAGCAATATTGTAACAAATTCAATAAAGACTTTAAAAATTGTCCACATCAAAAAAAAAAAAAAAAAAAAGCCTTAAAAAAAATCCCCATCAGCCCACACATCCAAATCTAAATTCAGCCCATCCTCCTCCTTTGGGAGGGTGGACTGTAACTTCTGTATGCAGAAAGGGTAGAGTTTATAACTCTCATCCTATGGGACAGTCCTGGGCTTTGCCACAACATCTGCTAATTATTTTGAGGTTATTTATTCATAAATCGGCAGGAAAGTACTATTTTAGAGGGAATTTGTGCCGGAGTTGGAAACTGCACATTTGATTAATGTGATGTGCCTTGTCCTTCTTACTTTGCAGAAAGGAATTCAGTGTTTCCTGGTAGTGCTTGCGCTGCTGTGTGTCCCTTGGATGCTGCTGTTTAAACCACTGGTCCTTCGCCATCAATATTTGAGGAGGAAGCATTTGGTGGGTGTATTTCTATGGCTGAAAGTTTACTAGACTTTTTTTTAAGATCAAGGCAATTCCTCATTGGATATAATGAGTTGTGCATAACCTGTATTCTCTTAAAATGCATTTGTGTTGTATCCCAGCATGAACACTAGACCTGCTGAAATGAAAAAAACCAAAACCAAGCATGTAATTGCTGCTCAGACATCCAGATTCAGCTTTGAGTAGCCCAGGTAGTGAGAACAAGTCATAAGTTTTTACCTCCTGTTCACGCTTTGCTCATGTTGTGCTCAGCAAAATCCAGGTCTGGGCCTGTCTCGATGCAGCATCAGCCAAAGCAAGGCTGCAAGAGCTGCAGACAGGTGAACCCACTCATGTGGTTTGCCTGGCAACCACAGGGCTGACACTGATATATTTTCTTTTAAAATGAGACCGTGATACTTTCACCAACCAAAACATCCGGGGCGGGGAAAGATGTGGTTTAAAGCACATTGACTTTTTTTATTTTTAGAAAACAGCATACATACTTGTGTTTACTTAATGTATGTATGTGTGCACCTGAATTACACACACACACACACACACACACTTAAGATGCCAGATGTCCATTTCTGGCTATGCGATAATGCTTACTTATTATATTGCCTGGTAAAGACCAAAAGATCGTGTTGCATGACTCATGCAGCTGTTAGATTGTTACTCCTGTTGGAGAGCAGCTGAGTTACAAGACCTGCCTTCTCCCTTTTCTGACCATCTTCATCCTTCCATGTGCCCTCATTCGTCTCCCCTTTCACTCCCTCCCTCCTTTGTTTCCTTCTCCCTTCCTCTTTTCTTCCATTCACTACCAGGAAGGGGCAACCTGTGGAGGCCCCAGTCTACCCAACCCCAAGCCAACAGGGACTAGAGGCAGCAGTGGCTGCAACAGTGAGTGAATTAAAACCAACAAACCATCACGTTTTGTTTAAAGAGGTGGCAAACAGTGCAGCAGAATTCTTTTTAATTATATCAAGAGCATGGGACATGTGTGCTCTTGGGAAGTATGTCCTTGTTACTCATTGAGAGGATGACAGAAAAGATTTCCACCTCTTAGGAATAGATTCTGATATCATCTTTACCATTGGTCCACTAAGTTTCCATTCAGTATGTAAGTACAGTCCTGTCTATGGAAGCAGGGCGGTTGTTGTACCCTCTCCAAGCCCCATCATCTTAATCCAAGAGGGCAGCTCTTAGACTCATCCACTTTCATGTCTGTATTTTGTGACCATGTATTGGATGGGTTTTTTTAGCATGGAGTGAGAACATCTCTGTGATTCTTGAATTGATTTCCCTGCACTTTAAAGTTCTGCTTCAGAGTGATGCTTGGACATTTGGTCCATTTTAGCTATAACTTACTCTCTTTCCAGTGGAAGATTATACGTGTCTACTTTTTTGTGAGAGACTCAGAAGCCCTCATGTCCTCAGCTGTTCATTGAGACCTCCACCCTGCCATGTGTCTCGTGTGTACTCTGCATCTGGTGTAATAACCAAAGTCATCTTCTGTTTTGATCTTTCCTTCTTTCAGTACTAACTCGTGATTCGGTAACAGCACTTTGAATGTTAAGCATTTCAATATTTGTCCTTAAAACATCTCTTGACCAAAATCTTATAATGCACTAATATCAAGTTAGCCCAATCTATTCTAGGTAATGAATCTATAATATTTTTTAAATCTCACCAGTAGTGATTACTCATATACTGTTGTGTTCTAGTAGCATCATACTCCTTTAGATAAAGGAAATATTTAGATGATGACTGTTTCCTTCATTAGGTGTTCCTGATCATTTTAACTCAGAAAATTGCTATAATTATCCTTCTAGGACTAGTCTAAAAAGGCTGATATTTTGGATCAGAAGATACTTAAATGTTGCTGCTTAAAATTATTTTCAAATGGGGACTTACTCTCTTCTTTCTAATGAGAGAAAAAAAAAACCCTTAAAGCACACACTGTCCACATATTGGCGTTCTTTCCATGTGCTCTTCTTTCTGCTAGTCTTAGTTTATTTAAGATGTGCTTCTGCTGCATCAGTCTTGATACTTCTAAGTCTGGCATCCTCTTTTATGATAATATCCAAGTTAAAAGTCCCTGGTCTGGAAACCTGCACATTCAGAGGGACTTCTTAGCGCACTGGTTCTTTAGCGGCCAAACATCTGTTTCTGGAGGGCAGCCCGAAGGCATCCGGATGATCATTCTACCACGGGGGTCCTAGATTCCTGACCCCAAGGGCTGAGGACATGAACACTGATCTGTTTTTGTTCTGTTCTCTGTCCTCTTGGTTGTCTGTAAGCAGTGTATCACAATTTAATATTTTCTTTTCTTCTTTCTGCTGCTGTGTGTCTCATCCCCCTTCCTGTAACTCACATCCCCTCTGTTCTGAAGCGACACTTATTCGTGTCTGGCTGGGAGGTTTAACCTGTCTGCCCCTCACTTCATCTGCTGATTGGGGGAAGCTTCAGAAATGGCTTTCTGCTTTAGGCCTTAAAGCCTAAAGCCTGCCTCCTCGACCCTGGGATCCATCCCAAGATACTCTGGAGTCCTCTCCTGTCACCAGTGTGGTGCAGAAAGTGCTGCAGAAAGAGCACCTGTGTTGCACCTTTAGTCCACCTTTTGTGGGTTGTCAGGTGTAATATTTGCATGACCTGGAGGTGCCAGGCGCTTCAGTGGCTCCCAGATCTGCCTACACAGCAGAATCACCTGGTGAACTTTAAATTTGTTTCTTAGGGCATTATGACAGAACAGACAAGTGGAGGAGAACATAAAGATTGCCTGTAATGCCATGATCCAGACAACCCCCTACTGACATTAAAAACTAAAATCAAAGCAATAGGTGCACTTGTTAGAGATGCAAATAGTACTGACTGTGAAAGCCTCCGCATCCCCAGCCCTTCTCCCCCACCTTCTCCTCCAGGGTATTGTTAACAGGTGGGGAAGTTTGCCTTAGAATTTTTTTCTGCAGATATCAGCATATATCTATCATCTATTGATAGAAATATGTATATATGTACGTACATATATATTTAAAACACAAATTAGCAGTTGTGTTTTAAATTGTAGCACTCTGCTGCCCCTTGATTAGGTTTTTTAAAATTTAGTGTCCTTAGAGATTGTTTCGTAGTGATACTCTTATAGTTGCCTAGCATTCCATAGAACATTCTGTTGGATGTGCTTAAATCATGTAATCATTCTCTTGTTGATGGCTCTGTTGGTTGTTCCCAGTTCTTTGCTATTCCAAATAACACAGGGAACGTCCTTGTCCTTGTATCTTGATAAAACTTCCCAGGCACAGATGTTCCCAGCAGTGGACTTGCTGTCTCAAAAGGTGCAGGCATTTTTTTGTGTGTGCCTTTTCTTCTTTTTTTTTTCACTTGTCATCATTTAATGAATCTCCCACCATGTGGCTTCAAGCTACCAGGACACAAGCCCCACCCACACCCTTAATCTTCTCCTCAGCTCTTCTGCTGAAGAATTTGGCCTTCAGGATGACAGCCTGCTTTGGGAGCTTTCCCTCCCCCAGAACTTTGTAGTAACCCGATCGCACCGCATCAGTGACAGGAGCAGCTCCAGTCTTGCTCTTGGCGGCATTTACCCGTGTCTGCTCACTGACCAAGGTCCACAATTTATCACGGTTGATGCTTGGGCAGAAGCTCTGGTCCCTCTTTAAGTGGTAATGCCTCATACCAACTTTCCCAAAGTATCCTGGGTGATATTTGTCGAAATTGATCCTGTGGTGATGCATGCCACCAGCATTACCGCGGCCTCCCGGGTGCTTCCGGTGTTTGCCGATGCGGCCGTGGCTGTGGCTCACGTGGCCCCTAAGTTTCCGGGTCTTCCTTATTCTGGATGGCATGTCAGCGGCCGAGACCAAAGAGCTGTGCATGCCTTTTCCATTTTGATAGACACTCGAAATGATCATACAGTTTGTACTTGGGGAAATATTTTTTTAAATACAGATTTTCTAGGCCCCATCCCAGACCTACTAAATTTACAATTTCTGGGGGTGGTATCTGAGAATCTCTGCTTAATGAAATGCAACTTTCAAGGTGATTCTGATGCAACTGGTTCTCTGACCACTGCTAGAAGAAGAGAGAGAATCTGCCCAAACCCTGAGGGTTGATGGTTGTATGCTGTGGTCATAGATGCACGCCAGAGGTGAAGCTGCGAGGAGGGACCTTGGGGCAGTTGACCGAAGCTGTGTGCACATTCTTTGTGCTGCTGCTCAGAGGCCATTTTGCAGGAGAGCAGTCTTTGAACTCTTGCCTTGTTTGACTCCCCTGACAGAAACCACATGAAGTGGGTCTTGGAGCTGTTTCTTCAGCTCCTTTTCACTCTATGGCCGGTTAGCACTAAGTGGTATCTGTCAGACTTAACCCCAGTTCTGCCTGGTTTTCGTACCCAAAAAGTCCTTTTGCCTCAGCAAACCCAAACTTTTCCAAGTCAGGTTGACTTAGAAATCCTGGTCCTAGGGACCCTGCTGAAAACTGCCTGGGGAGTGAGAGGCAGCAAGCAGCCAGTCGGCCTCCGCCCACCTGCCTGTGGGAGAGCTGTGTTGACACTCCAGAATCCTCCATTGAAGGATAGGGTCAGGGTTGTTTTGGTTTTGTTTTGTTTTGTTTTAAGTCAGTATTCTCTAGCTACAAGCTAACGTACATTAAGGTTTTTTTTCTTCTGTGACCTGGGAAGTCCTTTGTTCCTGGGCAGAGACCCGGTGCGTTTCAGGGAGAGGTTGCTGGAGCTCTCGGGCTCCTGTTGAAATCTTAACAGATTCGGTTGCAGTCACCATGTCATTTGGCTCTCCTCCCTCTTAGAAAGTCTAATCTTTAGTTCCAGAAAAACTTAGGCCATTGAACTCTTTACACATAGAGCTGCGCTTGTCAGGAGACTTTGTTCGTATTAAGCTTTTCACGCAAGCAGGACTCTCAGTCGGCGTTGGCCGAGGCAAGGTTGGTGTCTCTTGGTGCAGCAGGAACTGCCTGTTGCCTCTGATCAGGATGAGGTGCTAAATGTAGTTCGGGCTGGGCCTGGGCGGTGGTAGTTGGGATGGGAACAGTGGCTTGGTTTTACTTAGCTGTTCGATCAGTGGGTTTTGTTTTTGTTGTTAGAATATATGCTTTTCTGAGGTTTGTATGTACTAACCATCGCCCTTCCCCACGTCACAGAATGTCACATTAAAGCCCAGGCAAATTCTACTCTTTCTGTTCATCTGTGTAGGGAACTCTCAACTTTGGTGGGATCAGGGTGGGCAACGGACCGACAGAGGAGGATGCTGAGATTATTCAGCATGACCAGCTCTCCACCCATTCAGAGGACGCAGAGGAGGTAAGATCAGTGGTGCGGGCTTCCTCTCCTCCCACCTCGGGTCAGCCCTAGTCTTGTGTCCCTAAGTGGCCTCACTCCTCCGCTCCTTGAAACAATGAAAAGACTAATACTGAGGATCGGCTTGCTTTCTGAACCTCTGAGGGCGCTACAGCTTTTTCCAGTGGCCCCTGCTCTGAACGCCAGGTGTTGCCTGCAGAGCCCGCAGCAGTTGTGTTCTGTTGTCCGGCTTCCTGAGTTCCAAGCGGCCCACAGTACCCTGCACGCAGATCTCAGTTATTGACTGCTCCCCTCGGGGCCGAGGCAGAGCCAGCCCCAGCGCCCCAGCTCTTACTGCCAGAAACCCAGGCCACTTACGGCGGCTCCTTCATCCCTTGCCCCTCCCCAGAATGGTTCCCGTTGGAACTTTAATCAGTGGGACTTTTGAATTCCTGTTCCACTAATGTGCTCTTGTTGCAGACATTTTATTGAGCCTTTTAAAAATGTGACTTGCCTACTTTTTAGCCAAGTTTAGTCTAGTTTAGCCAAGCTAGACTTTTCCTTAAACCACCATTGGATTTTTTAAAAGCCAATCTCCTTGCCTGACCGTTCGTACCACAAAGCCTCTGAGCTGAACTTTTGAACCTCATCTATTCAGTATATTCTTTTTAAAACAAATAGAAAAGGAGTTGAGGACCCAGGGGACTGGACTTTGCAGTCTGACTGACCGCGTCTGCTATGTGTATGACTTTAAAAATAAATTGCAAGGCTTGAGATGCCTTTTAAAAATTAAGTATCAACACTCTTGGTCCTGCTGACTTTGCTCTCCGTTTGTGCTGAGGAGGCTTGCCTCCAATGTCAGACCATTTAACATTCACAGTCCCCACGCCCCCGCCCCCAAGAAGCAATCAGTAGCCTTGTGCTCATGACTTGTGACCTTGTGTGTGGCATGGCTTCCCACTAAGTGTAAATTTGTGTTTTCAAGCCTACCGAGGATGAAGTGGTAAGAAACAAGCTGGCTTTAGCTTCGTGTTTATCTGGGGCTTCTCTTCCCGTCCTTGTGATCACTCTGCTGTCCCTGCTGCATCCTGGGGCCACACATGACACCCATGTATTCTGCATCTCACTGGCCATTTCTAACCAGTTTGTGAACCCGTGTTCTGAAAAAGCTCATCTCCATTAACTGCATCTCACGTCAGTCACCTCTGTCTTTGTTTCATTGACTTTGCTGATCTAATGCCTTGAGAATGGCTTTAAAGGAGCTACAAGTAATGTCTGCACTGGCATTCTTGAAGTGACTCCCCTTGGGAGTTAAATCCCATTGGCCCCTGCCTTCCTCTCCTGTGTTGTTATGTATGGTCGCTCTGCCCCGGGAATAACTGTTTCCTCCCTGCTCCTCTGAGTGCTTATGGGAAAGCTCGCCCTTCCTCCCTGTCTGAGATGCAGCCAACCTCTTCCTGCTGCCCTCATCGGCTTGATGATGCTTGGAGTGAGAATGCTGGACGTTCGCTTGGGGTCAGCTTTACCTCCACGTGGCCCAGTTGGGAGGTAGACAGTTTTCAAAAGGAGGCTTTGCCTCTCAGATGCATCCCAGAAAAAACAATCCATCTGTGTGAAAGGAGTTCGTGTTATACCAGTCACACATAGAGGACAGCAGAGAGTAGAAAGAAAGTTGGCTAGATATTCTGGCCACAGCCAGAGAAGAAGGCCTCTAGCTCAGCAGTATACAAGCTTTGAATCGGGTTTTTAAAATAGGCCTTGCTGCACTGTTTGCATCTTCCCCCCGAATTTCTCTCTTAAAATACCCAGACCTGTGAACCTTTCCCTTTCCTGGCTTTCCTGGTCCTCTCTAAGGGGGCAGTGGGATGGGAATGGGAAAAACCTTTGCTGTTCTGTGTGAAAGCAGACAGTTGTCCGTCTTCCAGAAGGCCGGAGAGGCTCCTTTGCTGGCATCTAGGAGCTTCTGCGTTCCTCTGGACCACTCATCTGTGCAGAGCCACAGGCTGAGCCGCCTGGAAGGTCCCTGTCAGCACAGTCCTCACGTGTAGCCACGTCCCAGGGGAGTTGACATCCAAACAAGATGGACTGGAATTCAGCCTCCCCAGTCTCTGGCCCCCCAGCTCCATCAGAGGTTCAGTTTCCCACAGCGTCCTAAGTAGTGAGGACATTTTATCATCGTTAGGTACATACACAGTCTAGTTCTCTACAGCCAGGTTTAGATAGCTGTCTCAGTTACCTAAATACGTCACAGGTGGAAGCAGCAGTCCCTCTCCCTGGGGCATCAACAGTCCAGCTGCAAACCAGAGCCAGGCTCGTCAGTTGTCTGGGAAATTTTTGAAGGCCGTAACCACTCAGCAGGGGTCAGTGGGACCTCTCCCCACTGTGTCATCTCTCTAGGTACATTCATCCAACCCATCCATTCATTCACCCTCCATGTGCCAAGCACTCTGTTTAGAGCTGCAGGAACTGAGAGAAGAAAAACAAGTCCTTGCCTTCAAGGAACTCCCAAATTTAGGACACAGTCTGTGATCAAGGTGTGCCCAGGATGCTGTGGGAGCACAGGAAGAGGGCACCTGACAAACACTGGGGTGGGGGTAGGGAAGAGGAGGCCTGGAAAGGGCTCCCTAAGGAGATGATTGCTGAGGTTAGCTTGGTCAAGGCGGCGTCTCTGGAGGGAGAGGGAGGGAATGCGGATGCATCAGTATGTATAGTTATCATAAAGATACAGAGGCTGCGTCATCAAGATGCATTTCGGGGATAAACAAGTATTCAGCTTGGCTGGAGCTCGGAGTCAGGAGTTGAGGGACTGGTGAGAAGTGAGGCTAGAGGTTGGAGGACACCAGCCGTAGTAGAGTGTTTGGGTAAGAAGGAGCGTCAGAGGGCAGTGAAGCTGGAAGTGACACAGCGCATGCCATTGCTGAAATACCCTAGTGGCGGGTAGAGGGTGTATTGGGTGGGGGAGGGGCACAGTCTGAGAGGAGTCGGGAAAGAACTGGGAGGCCTGAAGGCATTTGCAGTGGGAGTTGGAAAGGAAGGGACCAGTATGAGCTGAAGGAAGTAAAAGCTGCAGGCCCCAGCGCCTTCATGAATGTAGGCAGTGCGAGTGAGTGAAACGTCAGGCTCGACTTCCAGGTTTGGGTGCCTGGGGCACTAGTAGTGACCCCCTGTTAGACATGGGACGAGGAGTAGAAGTAGGTCTCGGTGGGTCAGAGGAGAGCAATCGACGAGTTTAGTTTGGGTGGCATCGAGTTTGAAGCACCTGTGCTGCAGCAGGAGGAGATGTGGCACAGCTGGTTGGAAACAGGCAACACGGAAAAAGAGGTGTCCATTCGTAAGCCCCTCCCGGCGTGGCCACTGAAGGCCCGCGTGGCAGTGCTACAGGAGAGACGTTAAGGGCTGAGGCAGGAACTCCAGCACTTAAGGAGGAACCAAGAAGGAGGCTGAGAAGGAGCATCCAGAGGTAGGAGGAGAACCAAGAGGAGGTGAGCCTTCTCAAGAGGGGCCAGGACAGGGCAGTAGTGGCGGACACCGCAGAGGCTCAGGTCACAGGATGTCTGTGAGACCTCCCGGCTGGGAGGTAAGGGGAGCGCGCGAAGGAGGCGCGCGGAGCCGAGAGGGCGCAGGAGGTGAGGGGCAGGCACGGTGCGGCAGCGGGGAGGTGGTAGAGAGTTAGACGGGGCGTCTGCAGTGGTTCCGGGTCAGTCGTAGCGGACTCACATGGGGCAGTGACAGACCTCTAAGCGCTTGCCTGGGTTTCTCGCTTAATTCTCGCCCCACTTAATATCTCCCCCCACTACGTAGATAAGAAAACTTACCCAAGGTTGCAAAGCAGGAAGTTGGGAGTGGAGGAGAGGAAAAAGCTAGAGCAGTGCCTGGAAGGGAAGCTGTTCATGGGAGAAACTCAAGGTGGAATAAAAATGCTGCAAGGGGCTGGTTCTGAGGGAGCCCCGCACTCGCTTCTTTCTCAGAGCTGTTAGTTAAAGCCCTGCGCTCCTTGGAGCTGGGGGCCTGTCCTTCCTCAGAACGCGGGCTTTGGTGCGACGGCGAGCAGTGGTGGCAAAGAGCTCTTAACGGCACGTTGGGGTTCTGGTGACTGTGATTATCCTAGTTTTCAGGGTAACTAGGAGACTTGGAAGAGCCTGTTTCAGAAGAAAAGCCCAGAAGTACTCTGGGTGTAGATAGTCAAAGGTGAGGGAAAATGAGGCAGAAGCCCAGAGATGGCGAGTTGGAGCGGGCCCCTCCCCCCACTGGCCATGCCTGTGAGGCCTGGGCCGTTAGCGCCTTACCAGCCAGCCCTCCTCTCCTGGCCCCATGTGATTTCTCAAGACTGTTCTTTCTGGTATCTTTTGGGGATGAAGTCATGTGAGTCTGCAAAGAAACTGGTGAAAAATAGACTCTGACCTGTGGGCAGGGCAAGCTGGGGAGGCCCACTGGGCAGTGGCCCTGTGCTCCTGGAGTCTGGTCTGGACCATGTGGGGAGGGGCGGGGAGGCCCCAGGGAGGGGAATGGCCCACCTCCTGGCCTTCAGTGGCTGTGGCCCCACCCAGGAGAGTGAGGCCCGGCAGCGTGCCTGCGGCTTCTCTAGCAGCCTGGCTTGGGGCAGCCCGAACAGGGAGCTCCCGGAAGCTCGCTCCAGCCCCTCTGCTTTGTGCTGCAGATAATGTCTGATGTTGAGACAAAAACTGGAAGAAAGGGAGCGTGAGGAAAACAGAAACAATACACGTTCTGTTAGTCTTCATGTGTCCAAGTAGGAATTTGTAAAACTTTTGCTAAAACGTCCCTGTGTGATCTTTTCAGAAGTCTCAAAAGTAAAAGGAGGTTATCTTGCCGCCAGCGTGTTGTGAAAATAAGAAGTGGCTGCAGAGGCTTAGTCTCCAGGCGGTTACCAGCCTGGTGGCCTGTCCCCTGACGTACGACCCGGGGAAGAGCCCTTCCTGCCCTCCTGGCTCATTCAGAGGAGGGTGCTCCGCTCTCAGGCACCGTGAGGTGGAAGTCAGCCAGAGCAGGTGCTCCCAGACCACTCTTACCTCGACAGGCAGCCACTCCGGAGCTGACAGCCTAGTGGGGAGAAAAAGCAGATGTGTTGAGAAGAGTCTCATTAAGATGTAGTTCATTAAAATGTGATGTATTGAGGGGCATGGGGTGTCCCAGTCGGGGGCTCAGCCAGGCAGGATTTCTGGGGACGGCACGGCTGAAATCCCCACCAGGAGTTCAGCACCGGGGGCTCCAGGCCCATGTAGCCGTTCGTGCCAGCGCTCAGAGCCCTGCACACGCCCCTCCCAGCCTTATATCTTCTCTCTGGTTTCCTCCCATGACAGTTTGATTTTGGGGACACCATGGTCCACCAGGCCATCCACACCATTGAGTACTGCCTGGGCTGCATCTCCAACACCGCCTCCTACCTGCGGCTCTGGGCCCTCAGCCTCGCTCATGCACGTGAGTGTATTTCTCTCAGGTCAAAAACTATGTTTCTCCCCTTCTCCGGGCACTCCCTCAGGTGGGGGCTTAAAGAGAGTGGAAATTATGTAAAGCCTCTGGAATTATTGACTCCTGAATCCAGAGAATGATGTACAGGTGGGAGGATCAGTGCTTTTGCCAGGTTAGCTGGTAAGGTCGCAGAAAGCCGGGGGCAAGGAAGACTGCGATTGAGGGAGGCAGAGCAAAACGCAAGGCCTGCAGCACCCCTGGCCCAGCTGAACCGGATGTCATGTCTCTCCCCGTTCCGCAGAGCTGTCTGAGGTGCTTTGGACCATGGTGATCCACATCGGCCTGAGCGTGAAGAGCTTGGCGGGAAGTTTGGCGCTGTTCTTCATCTTCGCCGCCTTCGCCACCCTGACTGTGGCCATCCTCCTGATCATGGAGGGCCTCTCAGCCTTCCTCCACGCACTGCGGTTACACTGGTGAGGGGCAGCGCGGGGCCGAGGGTGGGGACGTGTCCTTAGCTGCACCGAGGGCAGTTTTACTCCTGTCCAGAATGCAGAGACACTAGGAAGTATCTTTCACATCCTCATACCCAAGGACGTACTTGGTAGTGAGCCTCAGGAAATGTGCACAGAAGAGCACAGCTCACTTCCACAGCTGCCAGGGAGGGTTCTCTGGTGAGTGTTGTCACAGTTGCGCTCCCTGTCTTCAGCCTTCTTCAGTGCTCTTGATTATGGCTTAAAAGATCTGCTGGGGTTTTTTGTTTGCTTGGGGGTTTTCGCACTGGTATATAACTCTCTCCTGTCTTCAGAGCAGTGAAAGCAGCTCTGGAACAGATTCTACGTCCAGGAAAGTGCTAGAGCACACTGCCCTCATTTCGTCCCCCTCATTCTGTCATCGTGCCGGTGTCTTTGGGTAGGACCCCTGGCAGCTCTGTGGGAGTAGGGGGATTCTTGACTCCATAGCACACTAGCTCAGTACACGGAAGCAGCTTCTTCTGAAGGGCAGGTTTTGGACTTGTTAGTTTTCTTTAATGTTGTTTTTGGCTCTTAATGGCTCTGCATGGAGATAGCTCAGTCCCAGGGAGTGGGAGATCTGGGGTCTGGTCTGGACTGTGACTCCATGACCTCAAAGTAAGGTTGCCAGGTTTAGCAAATAAAATTACAGAGCACTCAGTTATGTTTGGATTTCAGATAAACAGGGAATATTTTTTTACTGTATTTCCCGAATGTCCATGGGACATACTTATACTAAAAACTGGGCATCCCGTACTTTATCTGGCTACCCTACCTCAAACCCTACATCTTCGCGTCTCCGTTTCCCCCTTCACATTATGATTCTCCCTCTCTTTTGTGGTCCAGTGGCTCTGGAAGCTCTAGACCCTCTCTTCAGAGAAACACCCCCCTCAATGTGTGCACACACAGTTTTACCAGTTTAGGGGCTCACAAACTCACTGACCCTACCTTAGGACTCCCTAGACGAGATGATCTGTGGTGTTAATGACCTCAAGGTCAGAAGAGGGCCATGACTGTCTCTCTCCATCACTTCTCGAAACCTGAAGAAAACCAAAATCTGAACCTGAGAAACCTCTTCCCCACTCCCTTTATCTTTGATTTTTCTCCTGGCTTGTTACAGCTGAGCCTGCTCAAAGATTCCGCCGTTTGCTGTTCTAAATTACAGAGGGGAACATGAGGTGTGTAAGGGTGAGCCGTGGCCGGGACTTACTCTTCCCTCAAAAGCTCCTTTAGAAGAGTCCGTCCTGCTGCGTCAGTACACGGTGCTTTCTCAGGCCTGGCCCTCTCCTCCTGCCTCCCGTCCCCTCCCCGCCCAGCTGTTGTTTACTGGGAGCCAGGAGGCTGGCCACGCTACCGCTACCGGCTCTCAGCTTATCAGCGCACGCTCGCCCCAGCACACTTCCTACGACTCAGTGCGAGGGGACGTCTGTGCTGCCGCCCTGGGGTGACTCACTTTTTCTTGCCCTCTTGGCTTCCTTTCCTATTCCCTTCCCCGCCTCCTGAGCCCTGGGCTTGAGGGAACAGTTACCACGCCACCTTGACTCCAGCCCAAGTGGGGAGCCTGTTGCATCCTCCCTGGGTGGGTGGGAGCAGCCAAGGAGCTGGAACGGACCTGTGAGAGCAGTGAACCAGGCACCACGGAGCACGGAGGGCTGCCTGGGCTCAGGCCTGTTGTCCAGAATGAGCTGAGGCGGTTGGGAGGTCATGCTTTGCTGCCTGCAGGACTACTTCTTCCTCAGGCTCACCTGCGGCCTTCGAGTGAAGGTGTCTTCCCACGTCCTCATGCACGAGCCCAAGGAAGTGACAAGTGGCGAGAGAGCAGGCTTCAGAATCGGGTGACCCGAGTTTAAATTCCAGCTCTGCCGGTGCTGGCTGGGTGACCCTGAGGAAAGCACTCACCTCTCTGAACCTCACTTGCTCTCATGTGAAAAGAGAGGATAATGTCCACGTGACAGGGTTGCTGTGATTAAGTAGGAAATAATGCCCTGGCACACCGTAAACCTGTGTTCAGTTGCAGACGCGGCTGCCCTGCGGAGAGGGCTGTGGCCCCTGTAAAGATCTGCTTCCAGTCCGTTAGAGAGAAGGGAGACCCCAGGGGGATGCACATGATACCACTTGAATGCCTCGCAGATGCAGTTTGCAAGGAGTAGTCTGGTCAGACATATTGTACTTGCAGGGTGGTGGGTGGTTGCTGTTGTTTGGTAGTGGAAATATTGGGTAGAAGAGAAAAAACAGTGAAAACTCCTTTGTGCAACTTTCAGAATCCCATCACTGGGGGCCTGTTTGGAGCATCTCCCCCACCACCAGAAAGGAGTGAATGAAATTGGTGCTCATGCACCCCCTCCTGGCCTAGTGTGGACATGCCTCGAGGATCCCTGGGTCTTAGTCCAGCAGGACTGCAGGAATTCCGAGTTGAGGCCATCCTCTTGGGGGTGGGAACAGCTGGGCCCACTGAAGATGGCTGCAGGGACATTGCTGCAATTTTTCCTGGCGTCCAGCCTAGGCATCTTCATACCTGTCACTTTACCCCTGGTGTTCAGCTGGGGTTTCTTGATTCTGATGCAAGGGCTGCCCCATTACACAAGTTCTGGGTCTCTTTGGTGGGGACAAGAAGAAAAACCTGTGATTTGAAAGCAAGGATAAACCACAGGTCTGAGGTTCACGTAGGGTCGTGAGGAGGCAGGTGACATCTGGAAACAGCAGTGAGCGGGTTTGTGCACCCGCCTGCTAATTCTGTCTCCTCCCGAGTTACGTCTGTCTCTTTTCCTCCCACCAGCTGTGTGTATTGTGCTTGGTCTTCTTGGCTACCATAATGAGATGTCTTTTCTTCCTCAGAAAAGGCAAAGGCAGGGGTATGATTTGTGGTTTTCACTGTGGACACCGGACTGCTATTAGCAGAAAGACCGTCGCCCCATGGCCCGCCTTCACAGCAACCTCATCCCTTCCTAGCTAACGGATTCCACATGAACACTCACAGACTGGGGGCTAAAGGGACAGATTTGGGGACCAGTTTGTTGTAAGGAATTCAGTGGCGCCACAGCAGGACCCCGCGGGGTGGCTGCCCAGGAGAACGAGAACACCTGAAGTGTGACCTCATGGCCTCGGCACTGCTTGGAGAGGGACAGAACCATCTTTCTAGAACTGCCTCCCCTCGGTCACATCCCCACAGGCAAGGGAGGAGGCCCAGGCTTTCCCCTTCATTCACTTGAGAAGACATGGTTTCTGTCGTGGGGCAGGAGCACTCTCTCTCTGGACTCCCAGTTAGTCCTTCTGGGCCACTGGGTTGCCTTTTCCAGGTGCGGGAGCTGGCGGGGGTGACAGAGAACCCCCTCTGACTGCCAGAGGCTCTCCTCACATCTGCTGAATCCTGAGATGCGTTTTAGTGGCCTGGGGCGTGGCGGGGTCCATGGAGGTGCCCCGAGCAGAGCCCCTCAAGAAGGAAGAACTTGCAGGGCAGCCAGTGGGGCCCCGCTGTGCCCCGGCCCAGAGAACTTTGTGTTTATCCTTTCTCAGGAAGCACCCAGCTCCCGGCTGGGAGGGAGGAGAGGGCGGGGAGACCAACAGGGAAACTGCTTCCAACTTTGCGCCGGGAGGGTGAGGTGAGCACGGCTGAGAAGGGAGGCGAAGTCAGGCTGACGCTGAGATACCCAAGATGTCCCTGGTGGGGGCCACCCTAAGTCACCTCAAGCAGCAGCTGGTGGGCAAGGTGGTGTCAGGTGGTGTGTCCGAGGGAGCGCCCATCTGCCCACACAGCAGAACTTATGTGCCCCCGTCCCAGGCGTGTGTCCCCTGATGTAGATGAGGCAGGCAGGGTGATGCCAAGCGAAGGGTGGTGGTCCCTCAGGCGTCTGAGAACGTCTGCAGCTTCTCCATTCACCCAGTCTGGAGTTGGAATTGTTTGTGTGATGAGCCAGCCAGAGGTCAGAGTTCCAGATACCTCACAGACCCCAAGGTGAGTTGCCCACTGTCTGGCTGTACGCTGTTGAGCGGAGTGAAATACCATTGCCGTGTGCAGACACAGCGTACCCAGCGTGGAGGATTCAGTCGTCACAGCAGTGGGCAGGAAGCAGGAACCTGCCCCCATCCCCACCGCATTCCCCCAGAGGAGGCCTCAGGAGCTGGGCCCTCTTCTCCAGGTGTTGGGGCTCAGGGCTGAGTCCTGTGACTGACTGCAGTTTGAAATACCCTCTCCTGGATCGCATTTACTCTGAGGGAGGCTTGGCCGAGACACTGATGGGAATCCTCCAGGGGCCGGGAGGCTTTGGGGGCCTTGGTGTGGCCCCCAGAATGTAGGGTCGGGGAGAAGGCTGCCTGTTCTTACGCCCGCACAGAAAATTCTGTTCCCCTCTTCTCCCCAGCGGGTGGAGCTGGCCGCTCTGCAGTCAGCTCCTCAGCCAGCGCCCCAGGGCTGAAGGGGCCTCTGAGGACATCTCGGGGCTACCAGCAGACAGTCCTCTTCCCACTCCCTTTTCCCTGATTCCTCCCTTATCTCGGAGGGAGGCCGCCCTGGCTGAAGACTGAGTGAGGGGCATGAAGGTGGAGAGCGTCTTGGCGCCCTGCTGTGCAGTCACAGTCAAACTGCTGCCTGCGGCCTGCCCCAGGGATCTGGGGCCCCCAGAGTCACACAGCACTGAGTGGAAACTATTCCTCAGGGCAGCTCTCCTTGGCTTTCTTATCCTCTGAATCATGCATTTTTCTGCCCATATTTGGTGGTGATTTGGTTGCTGGGCAGACATCCAGGACGAAGTCGCAGCCTGGCTCTGCATACAGGCGTGTGCTCCTTCCTGCCCCCTCAGAGTTTGAAGGGCCCAGGGAGACCATCGGGGATGGATGCTGGGCTGCCGGGGAAGGGAGCTAGAGCTGTTTTTCCTTTCAGTCCCCAAGAGAAGAATTCTTTCTTGGATGCTTTTGTAGTTGGAGGATGTTTTTGCCGTTGCTTTGAGAAGACTTCCCCTCCTAACTTCCCCCTTTCCTGGGAATTTCCTCCCCTAAGTCGAAAGCCTCCACTGTTCACTAGCAACCCTCCCTTCTCCTTCCTCCCCCAAGAAGAGAAATAAACAAGAAAACAGTGGCGCCTGCCAGGGTTCCTTGCGCTGAGCTGGTGGCTACTCACAAGCTTCCCTTGGAGGTCCGCTGTGGGCCCTGCCAGGAAGGGGGTGTTGGGGGGACTCTTTTTCATCTTTAGAGGCTCAGGCCAGCTGAACGTTTTTTGCGCATGGCCCTCTGCAGAGAGTTTTGCATAAACACACTCTCCGCTGAGCAGGACGGAGCAGGAACTGAAGCCAAACCAGCGCACTGGTGTGCACTCTTGCCGAGGGCAGGCCCTGGGCGTCACGAGTAGGAGGTTGTGTTAGGATTAGGGTTGTGTGTGCCATGAGCAGGCCAAGGTCTGGGCTTTGTGGGCGGCAGGAGGCTCGGGGAGCTTGGGGTTGGGTCATCTTTCTGGCCCAACTGTGGAGTCCCAAAAGGTTTCTGTGGAATGATGAGTCTCCTCTTCTCTTTCTCCAGGGTGGAATTCCAGAATAAATTCTACAGCGGGACGGGTTTCAAGTTCCTACCCTTCTCCTTCGAGCACATCCGAGAAGGGAAGCTTGACGAATAAGCCCCTCGGGGGCTGTGCGCCCTCTGCCCTCCCCACTCCCTCCACAGTGATTAGCTGTGCTCCGCTTGCCGTTGGTTGTGATCCCTGGGTATCAGGGCATCTGAGTCATCCCTGCCACCCTTCCCCCAGCCACCTGTGAGTCATTTAGATAGACCCAGCCCTTCCTGGGTCCCCTGCCACCTCCAGCTTTGTGTGTTGTAGTGCAGTGATTTTTCTGGAGAGAAGCGGGCCCGAGCGGTCACTCAAACGCACTCCCACTGGGCACCCTCCTTGCCCTTCCAGCCTCTGTCCAGCCCTTCCTCTGCCCCCTGGTGGTGAAGCCATTTGTGCATTTACACAGGAGCCCAGAGCGCTTGGAGGGAGCGCCTTCGCTGTCCGCACCCTCCTTCCTGGTTGGGGATGGGGTGCTCTTGAACACTCCCCACTCTTGGATTAGCGGGGGTGGGTCCAGGAAGGTGGTGTTTCTGTCCTCTGCCCATCCCCTCTGGTCTTCGATGTGCTCGTTAATCAGGAATTCAGCTGGACCCAACTGTGCCAGCGTGCGTGGCTTCTCCCTGGCAGCCCCAAGGGCCCCTGGATACCCTGCACCACCTTCCTGACCCCCACCCTAAACTCACACCCTTTCCTCCTCCTTCCCAGAATGCCCCTTTAGCACCCAGCATAACATACACAGCAGGGTGGACCCAAAGCAGAGGTCCTGGCTGGCTCCTCTGGTGGCTGCTTCTCAGGCCATGCGTGGGCCACAAGCACGCCCTCGGGGCAGAGGGTCCAAGTCCATGCTCTTTCCTGGTGCAGACCCGGAGACCTTTCCCCACCCCCAATCACGAGTCTTGAGTGCAGAACTGTAGTCATCAGGGCTGGTTCTGCCTGCAGACCTGCCTTGCTCTGCCCACCGGCGCCCCTCCCCACTTCCACACCGACCCCAAGTGGAGCAAGTGGGTCCTGGGCAGGGAAAGTCAATGTCATTTACCATTTGCTGATTGGAGGCAGCTGGTAGGGCCACCAGTGTGTGCAGTTGTGAGAGCTGCATGGCCCTGCCCTGTCAGGGCTGGTGGGGAGCGCCCCCAAAGGGCCACCGCCCCTGTCGCCCCCACGCCAGGACATAGATCTTGGGGCCTTTTAATCATGCGTTGGCACAGCAGCCCTGGCTGCCTCAGCTAAATCGATCCCCGTGCCTTCAGTGAGCAAGAGGACCCCCCTCAATTGGCCGGCCCCTTCCCACCCCACCCCTACTCCCTGCTTGTCTGGGAGCTGCTTAGCGCTGCTCACTGGACTCTCCCAGGCTGGGCCGCCCGCCCCAGCTTCACCGTGCAGTAGCCAGTGTGACCCGACCCAGCCCTTGTGCAGAGCCCCCTTCCTTCTGGTCCCTGTGGTTTACATGATGATCTTTGCTCTGTTTACGGCGGGGGTTTGAAGCAGAGTTCTTTATCAGGAACCCTGCCCAAGGCCCTTCTGTTCAGACATTCCTGTGCGGAATAAAGTGTGTTTGACTCTGTCAGGGAGGCTGCTTGTCTGCGTGCCTACAGCCCCTAGCCCCTGCGTCACTCAAGGCTCAGCCCTCCTGAGCCCACCTAGTATCCTTACACCTGCCACTTCCCTCTGCCAGCATTTCTGCTTTTTCCTCTGATCAAAGACCGCAGTTGCAGTGGCCCTGGCCAGGCAGTTAGTTTGTGAAATTCTCACCTTATCTCAGGTTTCCCAAGGGCTTTCCCACTCCCTGAGCCCCACTCCCTGAGCCAAGGCAGCTTTTCAGACACTACCCATGTGGGGGAGGGGACTTGGGGACCCATCTCCATCCTGCTTTCTGCACCACACGCAAACAGCCAGGGCAAGCAGGGACCTGGACGCCTGCCCACCCTCCTCTCCCTCTTCTGTGAGCGTGCTCTCCAAGGCTCAGCAGCCTGGCTATTTTGAGCCCTGATTGCCTCTGGCCTTGGTGTAGGCGGAGGCTCGGCGTAGGGTTGGTTCCTGAGGGCAGCTGGAAAATTCGAGGTGCTGAGGCAGGCAGCCCAAGAGCTCAACGGGCTGTCCTGGCAGGCGGGGTGGGCCAGGGCGGGCGCCTCCCCCTCCTCACTGCCATGTAAGGTGACCACATTCTTTCTCAGCCCTCCCTCTCCATTCCTCCCTCTTGGGGCCTCCAGGGCAGGGGCTGCCCAGGAATGTGAACAGCAGCCTACCAACTGCTGCTCCAGGAGGAGCAGGAACACCCTGTTCATTCCATGCTCCTCAAACCCTCTCCTCCCTGACAGGCCACCTTCCCTGGAGCAGCCCTGGGTACAACACCCAGCATCCACTCCTCAAAAAGCTGAGGGTGGACATTCAGGTAAATGAGCCCTTTTAACCTCTTCTCTGTTACTGACTCAGATAGATAACTAGGAATCAATGGACTAGAATTGAGAGTTCAGAAACAAACCCTAACATGTATAGTTGACTGATTTTCCACACAGGGGCCAAGATAATTCACTGGGGAAAAAACAGTCTTCAACAGATGGTGTTAGTACAACCGGGTACCCACATGGAAACAAATTTGGACTGCTATCCGCTATATACAAAAATTAACTCAAAATGGATCGTAGACCTAAACATAAGAGAAGTCTCAGAGGAAATCATAGGAGTACATCTTCCTGACCCTGGGTTAGGCAGTGGTTTTTAGATATGACGTCAGAAGCATGAGTGATAAAAAAGAAGATAAAAGATAAGTTGGGTTTTAGCAAAATTAAAAACTTTTGTGCTTCGAAGGACAGGATCAAGACACTCCTCACACTGGAAGAAAATATTTTCAAAGCATGTATCTAATAAGGAACTTGTATCTGGAATATATACAGAACTTTTACAACTCAGTAATAAAGACAAATACCTCAATTTTTAAAAGGACAAAGGATTTGAACAGGCATTTCTCCAAAGAAAACACGAATAGCCAATAAGTCCATGAAAAGGTACGCAGCATCATTAGTCATTAGGAAAATGCAAATCAAAACCACGAGGAGACACCACATCACACCCACTAAGAAGGCAATAATTTAAAAAAGACAATTACAAGTGTAGGGACTTCCCTGGTGGTGCAGTGGTTAAGAATCCACCTGCCAATGCAGGGGACATGGGTTTGAGCCCTGGTCCGGGAAGATCCCACATGCCACAGAGCAACTAAGCCCATGCACCACAACTACTGAGCCTGCGCTCTAGAGCCCACGAGGCACAACTACTGAGCCCGTGTGCCACAGCTACTGAAGCCCGCACACCTAGAGCCCGTGCTCCGCAACAAGAGAAGCCACCACAATGAGAAGCCCATGCACCACAACCCGTGCACAGCAACGAAGACCCAACGCAGCCAAAGATAAATTAAAAAAAAAAAAAAAAACAAGTGTTGACAAGGATGTGGAGAAACTGGAACCCCCGTCCACTGCTGGTGGGAATGTAAAATGGTGCAGCAGCTTTGGAAAGCAGCCTGGCAGTTTCTCAAAATGTTAAACGTAGGATTAACTTAGGACCCAGCAATTTGACTTCTAGATATCAAGAAAAATGAAAAAATGTGCACACAAACTTGTGCATAAGTGTTCGTAGTGGCATTATTCATAATAGCCCTAAATGGAAACAACCCAAATGTTGATCAGCTGATGAATGGGTAAACAAAGGCAGTATATCCATACCATGGGTATCATTCTACAATAAGAAGGAAGGACGTGCTGATACACGCCGCAACAAGAATGGACCTCAGACACAAGGCCACATAACGTATAATTCCATTTCTGTGAAATGTCTAGAAGGGGCATATCTGTAGAGACAGAAAGCAGATGGGTGGTTGCCTAGGACCAGCTGCCGGATGGGGTTGGGGGCAGGGTTTCTTTTGGGGGATGATGAAATGTAAAATTAGATTATGGTGACAGTTGCACAACTCTGTGACCATACTAAAAAACTGTTGAGTTGTACACTTTAAACTGGTAAACTTTCTGGTATAGATCAATAAAATGGGGCAGGGGAGGGAGGACTAGGACCTGCCCGGGAAGAAATTCCCCCCTAGCCTGGATGAGAAGACCTGGGCCAGTGGGTCACTGGCTAAGCTGAGCTTCCAGGATCTAGGGCCTTGGGCTGCCTCCAGCCCAGCCAGCTAAAGATGGGACCAACTGGGAACTGAGCCCTGGAGGGTGTGGGAATTCCCAGGAGCCCTGGGGTGGGGGTGGGGAACAGGATGGCTCCATTGCTCCTATTTTTAAGAGTCTTGGCCTTTACCCTGATCCCCTTCTGTGGAATCCCTGGACCCCAGCATCTGCTTAGTGAATCTGTGCCCCCAACCAGCGAATGCTTCCCATCCTAGAACCAATGTGGAGAGGGTGACTTTGGGCCTGCTCAGTATTATAAAGATAGGGACAATTCCATCACCACCTTCTGAACCGCCACCCCTCCTTTCCTGTCCCTCACTGGGGACCTGGGCAGGATTGTGTCTCTTTCTACCCAGGAGCCCTGGGTGGAAAGGGCATTGGAGCTCCCCTCAGATCTGAGCCTGTTTGCCTGCCCTTCCCTCTCCAGCCTACCCAAGGCAAGGCGTAGGCTGCTCCCTGGTGGCCAGACAGGGAAGGACTCATTCCTCCCCCCAGGTAAGATGGGTGGGATCCTAGCAGGGCTGTGACAGGCAGGCAACTGGATTGGCAGGGCAGACGGACAGGGATCTGGAGGGATTCTGGGGTGCATAGACAGAGGGGAGGCTGGCAGGAATGAAAGAGATGAGATAGGAGCGGAGAGAAAAAGTAATAAAATGTAGCACGTGGTAAAAGGATCAAACAGTACAAAAGGCCCTAATATAAAAGTAAGTCTTTGGCTCCAGCGTCCCAGTACCTTATCCAAAGCGAGCACTATTTACATAGCCTTAAACACACACACACACACACACACACACACACACACACACACACACAAATGGGACATACTTTACCCAGTGATTTGACATCTCTTTTTTTTTTTTAAAGAAGATGTTGGGGGTAGGAGTTTATTAATTAATTTATTTTTGCTGTGTTGGGTCTTCCTTTCTGTGCGAGGGCTTTCTCTAGTTGTGGCAAGCGGGTGGGGGGGGGCCACTCTTCATCGCGGTGCGCGGGCCTCTCACTATCGCGGCCTCTCTTGTTGCGGAGCACAGGCTCCAGATGCGCAGGCTCAGTAGTTGTGTCTCACGGGCCTAGTTGCTCCGCGTCATGTGAGATCCTCCCAGACCAGGGCTCGAACCCATGTCCCCTGCGTTAGCAGGCAGATTCTCAACCACTGCGCCACCAGGAAAGCCCCTGATTTGACATCTTTTTTAATTTTTTTTTTTTTTTTTTTTTTTTTTGGCCGTGGGCTTGTGAGATCTTAGTTCCCCGACCAGGGATTGAACCCCGGGCCCTCGGCAGAGAAAGCACTGAGTCTTAACCACTGGACCACCAGGGAATTCCCTGACCTCTTTTTAAAAAGTACACTTTGCAGAACATTCCGAATCAGCACCAACACATCTTCCTCACTTTTCTATTTTTTTTTAGCAAATGCTTGGTATTTCATCCTATTGATGCAACTTAATTTCTTCAACCAGCCCCCCTATTGTCCTCAAAGAGTTCCCAGCTTGGTGGGGAAGACGAGAAAGACAGTGTGACACACCTGGAGTAATCGGTGACACTCTTGCCAAGCACCCATGAGCTCAGGCTGTGAATGTGCTACCAACCCCCCGGGATGGTGTCCCCAACCTGCTGCCCCTGCCAGCATCCGTCTGCCATTCTGGATGAATCCAGACCCCACAGAGAGGCACCCTGAGCCTGACGGTGGACCTGCAGCCCAATTCCCCCAAGCAATGTGTTCCCTAAGATCCAAATTGCTGGTAAAACAGGTCCTGGGAGGAGGAGAGTCTGACAAATCTCACCTGAAGCTAGAGGTGTTTGGAAGGGGGTGTTGGAGGGAGTGTAGAGAGGCCTGGGGGGCTACAAGCTATAGTTCCATGAGGACCCATCTCTCTGGGCAGGTCTAGGAGCTGCTCTCTGGGAAAAGCTGAGAGCCTTCTGATATTAGGAACTGGGTGGAACAGGGCTGCACCTCCTGAACTAGCTGCTTGCTAAGCTGGGAACAAGGCAGGGGGCACTGCAGCTTGAGTCTGCAGCTGGGGGCAGGGGGCAGAGGGGCAGAGCAAGCTCAGTGGACTCCCATGTACTCTTTCAGTCCAGGCTCTGGCAACCCTTCTCTGACCCCTTCCCTGTCTCTAAGCAGCTGCACTCAGGCCTGACAACCTGGAAAAATCTACACCTGCCTCCAAAAGGACTCAGAATCCCTTTAGAAAGTGCAGTCTTTATCAAAGGGCCCACCACTCCTGGCCATCACACAGCCCCACTCAAACCCTCCCTGCTGGTAAGCAGCCTGAAAAGTTGCATCTCTTGGGGGATAGTGGCAAAAACACTTATCTGAGAGTTAAGAGTTCCTGGTTCTAGTCCCAGACCTGCTGTCTTACTGGTCACTGATCTTCGCAGAGTCACTTCCTATCTCTGGCCC